AAGACTCATAAATACATCACATTTGCGGAAGGGGGGTAAAGAACCCATGTGGATCGACGAACGGCTATTCCTGGAACGAAGTTCTACCTGGACATGTAAAGGGAATCACTAGATTCGGTTCGAGGGAAAATGCGAGTGTATAGAGAGTCGCTCGACTCGGATCGAGGGAATGCCCGCTGGTGGGCTCTGGAGATAATCCGATCGGTATAGACACCCTTGGCCGTACCACCAACCACACTCCGGAGATAATCCTTGAAATCGGTAGGTTGGAAGTCAGGGTAGAGTTCCTTGGAGGTCAGGTAACCCAAGTACTTGGCAAAGTCGGGGGTGTTGTCACCACGGAGACCCCATGACAGCTGGTATTCGGCAAGATAGCGGGGGATGAACTTGACAGGGTCGAAGGGGTATGTTTCACTGGACTGCCTAGCTGCGAGAACCCGATTGTAGACCATTTCCTCCGAGACCTGAAATCAGAAATTAGTCTCAAGCCCATGTCACCGGGATTGGTCCTGCAACTTACATAGTTGCGGTTGATTTTCTCCTCACTGATCTCCTCGAGAATGTCGTAGATCTGGTTCTGGGTGACAACAGTGTTGTAGGTAAAAACCATCTTGTTCAAAGTGCGGTCATCGAGGATGATGCGGGCCATGTAGCGACCAATGTCTCTCAGGTCTGTGATGGCGGTCGGAATTTCACCGTCACCCACGAGCTCATTGTTGGCTGTGGTCATGGCGTAGTCGACCCGGCCAGATTCAAGACGAGGGTAGGAGAGCTGGTACCACCAGCCGACATCGACGATGGTGTAGGGCAGGTAGAGTTGCTTAATGTGATTGTAGACGGTTTCTTTCTGTAAAGACCCGAAACGTTAACATATGATGTCATTTTCGCTCCGGTCAGTGCGGGAGACCAGGATGGCAAGTGAAAAGAAGGTGGGAAGAAAGCAACCGGACGGATGTGGATGGACGTACCTCATCTCTTAGCCACATGATTCCACCGGCAGGGGCGACCGTGATGAAACCGCAAGGAACGAAACGCTTGACGCCAACCTTCTTTGCGGCTTTGGCGAGAGGGATCTGGTCTTGCTGCTCGGCCGGACCGACACAGCTAATGACAATGTCGATACCCTGGAGAGCATTGGCGAGGGCCTCTTCGGGGCCCTTCAGGTCACATTTGCGAATCTGGACACCTCGTTCCTGCAGAGAGACGATGGCGGGTTTCTGGACGGAGCGGTGACGGACGAGAGCATAGAGTTCCTGTAGAATGAATATGGTTAGTTCGATCAAATCATAGTCTTTTTTCTCCCACTTCGTCCCTTTCATTTTCTTGGGAAGTTGTCAAAGAGGGGGGTGTCATACAAAAACCGGGTTCTCCAGCAAACCGTTGGCGATGGAACCACCAGTTTCACCGGCGGCACCGACGAGCAAAACTCTTGTCCGCGACATTATGGGCAAGGAGAACAGAGAAGGCTAGAGTGTTGTGTTGGAGATAGAACCAAATAGTAGAAAAAGGTGGGAGTAAAGGCTGAAAGGGAGAGAAGGATGAGAGGGGAAGAGAAAAGAGTAGTTGGTTGGTGGCGGTTAAGGTGGTGGAGGTGGAGGTGGTGTGTGTGTGGTGGTGAAAGAGGAAAGAAGAGGAAAGAGAAAAGGAAGAAGAAGGTGAGAAAAGTCGTAAGACCGAAGCGGTAGTAAAGCCAGGACCGGCGGCGACGTTATAAATGGGCTAGAGTATTTGTAGTGTCCTCTTCTACAGCATTCAGACTGTCTCCCAAGGATGGCGACCCTCTCTCCACTTGAAGCCGGGCAGTGGGTCTAGTTGGGTTTTGCAGGTGAGATGCTATGTTATGTGTACTAGTACAGAGTAATATTATTCTCTATTATAAGTTGTATAACTAACCACTATATATATCTCTAACAAGGCTATTGAAATAAGACCGACTATGAATTCATTCCTCTTTCTCGAAAATCATGTCAATAATCCAGTGTCTTGTCGGTGACTCGAACCAGAGGCCAAAAATTGGTTACGTCATGGCTGCTCACGCTGCCCGGTCAGTCAGTCAGTCTTCAACAGGAAAATGAACAGAAGGTCGAATGGAAGCCTCTAGATCATCATGACCACAGGAAGTATTGGATTGGGTCATGCCATCATAGGTAACGGTCCGTATCGTCATGTCTTATATACATAGTGCACTCTCGGAGGACTCTGCTGCGAACATCCAACAATATACAGAGTACAAATTAGTAGCGATTGAGTCTGAATACTCCGATCGGTCAGTCTTTTTATGTTACGAACCCTCCTAACTGCGTCGTATTTTTTACTATGTACTATAGTCTCAACAGAAACCCCCACGTCACGATCTTCAGATCGGCAACTGGTCAGGGCAGGATGTAACCGTGTGGCAATGCCTCTTTAGTATCCAGGAGGGACTGTATTACTATGAAGGATTCTTGCAGACGCAATCACGAGGGGTTGCTGTACGTTGAAGCAATACCTGCTGATGGGGCACGTGAACAGCCACTATGGAGCGCATACAGAGCTCATATGGGGTACTGTACTTTGTACACTGAGTACATTTAAACAACCAGTTAGAATTTCTGCTTTTCAACCATGGTCAGATAAATTGGCCATCCCACCATAAATATCATTACTTGTCACCTTGTAATATCCTCAGATCCTTTGTTCAAGACTCCCAATGGTGGACAAAGTGGTGCTGTACATACACAGTCTCATTTTCCAAAAGAGGCTACTCCGGTCTCTTCCGCCAATGAGAGGTTCCATCGGAGAAAGTCGGTGTACTCCGTACACTGTCCTTCAAGGTTACTCTGTATGTATGGAGTATGGGAGTATTATGGTACTTGTATTCCTACTATCTTTATGCACTCAGCCCCGTCTGGTTGGATCCCCCAAAGCACTCAGTACGGGGTTATGCACTATGCCACCTCCAACAATTACCACAATACCAGAACCAGAGGCTCAGACAACCCATTGGAGCAAGCCACTCAGCTATGCCCAAATAAACTCAACGAAGCATTTCTTGACTATTGGAACCCCTGGTCTCCTATCCCAATCATTAGCCAATAATGGTTGTCATCTGTACGCTGACTGTTAGGGACAAGAGTTACTCAATCCGTTCCTGGCGTCGTGATACATTCCAACAAACAGCTTGGCCCGTGCTCCTCCAGACAACTTACAGGCAACTTTCAGGAATCTTGCTTACTCTTAGGGAGCAGTACTTTGTAGATGCCGTACCTATCCCTGGATTCCAAGAGTCGCCTATGGTGCGGAGAGCATTACTAGCCTGTGTTTCGGAATACCCGACCGAAGCCTCAATGAATACATGAGTAGAATTGGAGAAAATCGACAGTAATGGATGGAAGATGAATCTAAGGCAAAATGCTGCCATTCTACTTACAGGAAAGATAGACACACAAAGCATCATGTACTCTATACTGTCACACTGCAAAATATACAATGCCACTCGATTGCACCAGATACATATTCTAGTAAATTGATCATGATAATAAATATTGGTTAATATGAACATATCCATTGTGCCACTGAATTACAATAGTGTTGAAAATGTCATAGATCGCTTCCCCAGATTTTCTTCCCCGGACTGAATGATGCTCCACGCCGCTTGTCTGTTTTTGGAATTTGCTGCCTGCATGCCTCAGGTCACCTCGTCTTTGACCATCTCCCACAACACCCCACTATCATCATTTCAAACCATAGGACTTCTACGGACAAGCCTCAGAATCCCTTTTGTTGGCGTGCTTACAATATAATGTGTATTTGCCAGGATAACCTGTCAATCTCCTTAGTCACCTATCAAATCTCATCGGCATTTCCCCGAACCCTATCTGTCGGACGCAGAGCGAGCCTGATTGCAGAACACGACGTCAGAGAAAACAATACTCGAACAGACGACTCGAATTTACAGGAAAGATGCGGAACATTCCGCTCCGCTGTTGCGCTCTGACTAGCAGAGACGTCTGAGCTAAGATACTTCCCCGCAGATTGTCACGTCCAAGATCCGGGGTTGGAAACTCTGTTTCGGGTTTTTGTTGATATCAACGCGGGGAATTAGACAATATGGTGGCAGCGGACATATGCCGGTGTTGGGCATGGCCTGTTATTACTAGGGGGTTGGAAGGATGATCGGGGCTGACCTCTTCCCATTTCTCTCTCTTCTTGAAGGTTGTCAGTCGTCTTATCTTTTCCCCTTGTCCTACCAATGGCAATTTTGGCTGGAAGTACTCGCACTACTAGTTAGGTGGAAACAGACAACATGAGCGATATCAAGTCAAATCCCGACTCCAAAGCCAATGCCGCAGAGGCACCTACTATCGAACACGAGGAGTCCGCTCAAGAATCGAAATGGAAGACAGCAAAGCCTGCCGATGGCGATGTCGCCATGGCATTATTCAACGACCCAACTGACCTCCATGAAGACGTTGATCCAGCTGAGATGAGAAAATTGATATGGAAGATCGATTTCATGATTCTGCCGTATCTTGCCGTCTGCTATGCGTTCTTTTATATTGACAAGGTGAATATAGAATTGACTCAAGCAATTGGTGCTTGCTAATTGTATAGACAACTCTGAGTTACGCTGCTATCTTCGGCATTGTCGAGGATCTCAATTTGCACGGTACACAGTACAGCTGGCTCAGTAGTATCTTCTACATTGGGTTCTTGATCTGGGCATTTCCTACAAACTTTCTCATGCAGCGCTTGCCTATAGGTATTTCTGGGTCCATACACTGCTCATAAGAATACCAATAACATAGCTCGCCACTAGGAAAATACCTTGGCGTGAACATCTTCATGTGGTACGTCCACCATCGAATCCCATACAACGTCAACTGACCAGAACAGGGGCGTCTTCCTCATGATCCAAGCCGCATGCAACGATTTTAAAACCCTCGCCGTCCTTCGAGCCCTGGGAGGAGCTGCTGAAGCTTGCGCAGATCCGGGTTTCATGCTCATCACGAGTATGTGGTACACGCGACGAGAACAACCCGTGCGCATGGGTCTGTGGTATACTGCCAATGGACTTGGAATTGCACTTGGTGGCTTGCTCGGTTATGGTATTGGAAATATCAAGGGTGCTCTTCCTTCGTGGAAGTACGAGTTTATCGTGATGTACGTTGACCTGAATACTTGGACGAAGGCATGCTAACGAGTGCAGTGGTGCTCTCTGCTCAGCATGGGGAATTGTCATGTTCATCTTCCTTCCGGATTCGCCCGTCACTGCGCCGGGACTCGACCAGAGACAGCGTCGAATGGCCGTCGAGCGATTGAAGAAGAATCAGACAGGTATTGAGAACAAGCATCTCAAACCACGTCAAGTGCTCGAGGCTTTCTTGGACTACAAGCTCTACATCTTCTTTCTCTTGGGTATAGTCTGTATGTAATTGTCACTATCCCTCTTGGTGAAAAAGTCATATTGACCAATGTAACTAGCCAATATCCCAAACGGCGGTATCTCCAACTTCGGAACGATTATCATCCAAGGTTTTGGTTTTTCAACCCTAGTCACCACACTGATGCAGGTATGTCATCCAACTCCCTCCAACGATAAACCCATAATAATCCTCTCTAGATCCCCTACGGTGTCCTAATCGCTATCTCCATCCTCGTATGCGTCTACCTCAATGACCGCTTCGAAAACCGACGCTGCGTCTTCATCCTCATTTTCCTCCTTCCCAACATTGCTGGTTCCTTCGGTCTGCGCTTCGTGTCGGCAGATCAAATGGTCGGTCGCTTGATCTGTTACTACTTGACAGGGCCGTATAACGCAGCTTTCGTTATGATCCTGAGTATGCAAGTTGCGAATACGGCAGGCCACACCAAAAAGGTCGTCACCAATGCAGTCCTCTTCCTTGGCTACTGCACCGGAAATCTCGCAGGTCCATTCTTCTATAAAGATGCACAGAAGTGCGGCCCCCTTCCTTTGCCCCCAGCCAATCTCATATATACATACTTACAAAGAAAAACAGACCTCTGTATGAACTAGGCATCTGGTCCATGATCGTCTCCCACCTAATCGAAGTCATCCTGATCATAGCCCTTGGGTTCCTCCTGCGCTGGGAGAATCAGAGGCGGGATAGAATTCAGTCTCAGATGGAGGGTGGTCTAGAGGGGAGGGATTTGGATGCTACTGCATTTTTGGATTTGACAGATCGGGAGAATTTGAAGTATGTCCCTCTTCTACTTCTCATTTCAATGGGATGTGCTAACGGATTTAGCTTCCGGTATATATATTGACAAGTTAGTTTCTCTATGGGTGGCTATGCTTTGGGTTTCATGGTAGAATAGGTCCAGATTCTTCGGAGATGCATGAACAGAAGTCATTCTAGTATATTCATAGAACAAGAGAGAAGACACACGCAGTATTATACAATCACAGAACCCAAATTGCGCATCCAACCACAATCACCGTCTTTGCCGTCTCTGACCCGTAAGAGCCGACTTCTTCTTGAGATAGTTGGACACGATGTTTTCTACGCTTCTCATATCGTGTCTGGGTTGTCTGTAGCAAAAGTAATTAGCACCGACAATCTCAACCCATCATCAATATAAACCAAAACATACCTCATATAGTACAACCTCGCTCTTCTCTTCCTCTTCTCCGACCTCTGCACAATCTCCACACTCTGCACATCAGGACTAAACACCTTCACCCACATCTCAACACCCACTCTCGTCAACTCATTCCGCAACAAAAACGCAGTATCTACCCCGCGCAGCCGGATGCTCAAACACACGCCCGAAAACGGGTCTCCGTTCTTGAATGTTACGCGCAGGATGTCGCCCGGTTTCACGCTGCGAGGATTCCGGCGGTAGTCAAAGAGGGCTTTGCGTTCGCCTGTTGGGTCGAGGGTTGAAAGTTGGGATTGGGTTACGGCGTTGATGGGTTCTTTGCAGATGTTGCGGGTGCTGGCGGGTGGGGGGTAGATTTTGAGTTTTTTGGGGGCTGTTCGGGATAAATTGTCAGAATGTTCAATTGCCTAAGAGTATGGGCTGGCAATGGATGTACCTTGGTCAGGACGCAGTCGAGTCGGTAATTGCGACATGAACGACCTGGGCAGTTTGTTCGGAAGAGGTGCTGCGTCTGACTTCGGGGTGTAGGCTGTGGAGATAGTTCGACGACCCAGTATCGATTCAGGGGTTTTTAGTAGCGGCCGTAAGTAGCCTAGCTGCCGCATGATGGGTGATATGCTCGCCATGGCTTGTCCCGTCTAGCGATGGACTGCGAATTGAGTGAGGGCCGAAGGGAAATATCTTGAGGCGGAGTATTATCCGCGCCGGCAGAATTATCGCCGCCAAGCCTTGAATTTCCTGTTCGGGTCAGCCTCTCATCGTCTAGGAACTTTTTCCTTTTCGCTGTACCAGAAACGATTTGACGAATTCACACCCACGCTCTTATTTATTTATTTATTTTTTTTTTACCTGTGCGGCGTCAATTCGAGGCAAGCGCTGAGTGCTCTACTTACGGAGCGAAGAAGAAAAAGTTACAGCCCCGCGCTATCCAACATGGCCCAACGAGCCGTTGGCAGGCTCTTCCGCGGCCAGAGTTCTGGCTCTCTGCGCCCATCAGTTGGTTCTTTTACACAAAGGCGCAATTACTCGCGAGATGGTATGCTCTCCCCAATTCCAAGATGATTGCCTCGACGCTGAAGACTGGTAATGAGTGAAAAGCTATCCCGACCTTCCCCCCATCATCCTCCCCCGAACTCGACCAAGCCCTCAACCGCTTCCGCGAAGAACTCTTCGTCCCCTTCGGCTTAAACGAACAACAGCGCAGACTGATGTTCCGCCACAAATATGCAGACATCCTGGATGAAGAACCCGTGACCGTGAACATCGGCAAAGACGATGAACCCTTCCTCCTCCGACCCATGGACCCCATGATGAGGCCCGCAAATAAAGAAGCTATTGACACAATCGCGCTTATGAAGACGCCTAAGGATTTCCAGAATCTTGTTCCCTTCCTCACCGGTCTCCGCATGTCCCATCGGCACATCAAGTACGGCCGCTGGGAGTGGGTGATACGCCGGGCGAGCCAGGCGGATGCGCTGGGTGTGATTTTGGAGTGTGCGAAGCAGGCTGATAAGACTGGGCTTTATTTGAAGAGGAATACGCTTGTTCAGCGGTTGTTCTTTGAGCTGCACCGCAAGGCTCAGCGTGGGGATTTCCAGGACCCTGCACTCTCCAAGGCGCTGCGCCTGGCTACCCAGGCCATTACTCTTATGGAGTCCCCCGAACACACCCAGATGGACCCCAAGGAGGACCCGAAGCGGAAACCCTTCATGGTGGGTGTTTTGCTCGAACTCCACGCCGCCCGTGCTCTGAATTTGCTCGAAGGAAAGGATGAAGGTGACTCCGTGCGGTCATATGCTCTGCGGCTGCTCGGTACCTGGTCCAATGGCCACTTCAAGAATCTCGCCAAGACATGGCCTGAGGTCGATTTGAGATTGCAGGAGATTGTCCCTATTCACAACGCTTTGAAGCTGGCTTTGCAGGTGCTGGAGACTGCAGGAGACAAGCCACTGAACAATGAACTAAAGGGTCGTATGAACGAGCTGAACATGATGATTGCAAGGAGTAAGCAGATGGCGCCGGAGAATGTTAAGCAAAGGCTCGAGCAGCAGCCGACGACGGGGTATGAGCAGGCCGTGCTTCTACATCAGGATTAAATTCGATGGTTCTTCTCTCTTTGCTTAAATTGTGTTCTCATTATGTATATTACCAGCCAAAATAAGCTTACGTGTATTTGAAATATGTCTTCGGAAATGGATGTCATTTTGATTTAGTTGCTTCTTCGGCATATAGCTGGGAATTTGTGGTGTCTGCCAGGAAGCAGTACATGAAGACGAATTGGAAAAACAGATATGCTCAGATGTTGCTATATTCAACCGATCATGACAGAATACATGATAACTAGGAGACCAACTCCAGTGTGTTGTCTGGACGGAATCGTCCCTGAGCAGGAAGAGTGGTCTTCCCAGAGACGACAGCGGGGCCAGCGGCCGTAATCTGCGAGACTAGTTAATAACATGAAATGCTGATAAAAGATACAAGATGACTTGGCTTACCTGTCCCTCAACGACCCTGTCCTGCTTATCATCAATAGCGCTAGTTAAGAGAATCTCTGCACTGCTCAACGGACTTCCGAAATGGCTAGCTCCTTCAAAGCGTCTGTAATCGAAGACGTTGGTCTGAGCGACTGCACCAGCAACACCAGGGCCGGTCAAGGCGTACACGATACGAGCACCGGTGAAGATCCTAAGATCGGTCAATTGCTCAGAGGTCAGACGGACGTCCTTGTCTGTGTCACAGCGATGCGAGATGCATATCAAGCGCAGCTTGTCGAAAGAAAGTTCGGAGGTAGGACCCATGTTGCCAACCTGGTTGAGAAGACCGTGAGAGGGCATGTTTCCGGCATCCAGCTTCCGGGCTTGGAACCAGTGAGTGACCGAAGAAATGAGGCCGGTGTGTGGCTTCATGACCTTGCTGTGGTAGTTGGACATAGTGCGGGAAGAGGCGACGATGATGGTAGGGGACACCCCAACAGTAGCCAGGGCAAAGTCAACGCTTTCACCCGCAACGGAGTTGAGCGCAACAGATGCATTGGCGTAGAGTGCCCTTAGGACTTGGCACAGCGGGTAAGACCGGGAAAGGGAGTCAATGGACAGCACCAAGTCATTGGAGTCAAACCGTTGAGCACGCGGCAGAGTAGAGTTAAGCGCACCAATGGCCGCTACCAAGTTCTATCCCAAGTCAGTCTTTTGAACATAAAGGGAACGTAATGGCGAACTAACCTCTGGCTTAAAGTCAATGAACTTGCTCTCAGATGATGAAGACGGCCAAACAGTAGTCACACCGGGGGATGGCGACTTAGGGTCGTAGGTGGGAACCTCAAGTCCAGCCAGGTCCCTCTTCTCATCAACCAATTCGTGCCAGACAGTGACCGACAGGGCACCTTTAACATCAGCGGGGACCTCGTTCCAATCCATATGACGGCTTCCAAACTTGGCAACCCAGACCACTTGAGAGAGCTGCTTGTTGCCCTTGGCTACAGTAGACAGGTCAAGAGCACCAGCCTCGGCGATCAACGCCTCGGCCTGCACCTTCTGCAGATGCGTTGACAGAACTTCAGGCTCGAGGTGGTGAGGCACAATGACGACTCTGAAGCCATAGAAAGAACCGGCTATATCACGACTTGTTAGTACCAGAACAAAATGTAGGGCAACTGTCCGAGTACGAACCGAAGATAGAAGCCAGAAGCTCAACGGAATCAGTTAAACAAACAGCAACCGTTTTCGCCTTTACAGCCTGAAAGTGGTGACCGATGACGTTAATTTCTTGGGTGATTTGGTCCAACGAGTGTTCAATTGCCTTCCTTCCGAGCACCGTATAGATCTTGCTCTGCTTTCCGGAAAGCGAGCCATCTTCGTTCACCGCACCACGCACGGCAGTCTTCCAAATGTCCCGTAGATCACCGTTTCGTCCAGCGCTCCATTTCGGTGTTCCGGGATCCCTGACATTGAGACCAGACCTTAACGGAAAGCCGTATGGTGTCTCTAAGCTCCGGAATGGCGCGGATTCTCCCGGTTGTCGCACAAAAGTTTCAGTAGATTGACGAGCGAGAAGAAATGGATGGATGTCCGGATCTTTCGAGGTAATGAGCGAGAAAATAAGGAAAGCAACAATGCTTCCCGCAATGACAGTCGAGTAGATATTCCAGTCAGCTAGCACATCAGCTATTAAAGCGTCCAGCTTCGCTAGCAGCGGCGTTTCCGAAGCCATTCTGCACTTGATCGATTATTATCAATAACTGGTATACATGTACAAAGCAAAGCGTAATAATCAAGTAAATATTTTCCCAAACAGACAATAATCCTTAAGATGACACCTAGGAGGGGCAGTTGCCTGTATATAAACCCCGAGGTGGAGAGCTTCAAGGCGGCTGAGGTCATCCGCCTCAGCGCTTACATTCACCGCCCGAGGACCGGCAAAATCTGGCGGCAATGGCGTCTGTTGCAGTGAGTGACGGCGTGCACATCACCAAAACAAGCACCTCCCACACGACCTCTAATACTAACTGCCCACTTCTTGCCGCGAGCTGGCTCTTTCCTCTTTGAGTACAGCTAGCTATGGTCCTTGTCGACTTCAGGTAGGTTATCAATACAGTCATATCATCACACGTAAATGTAGCTACGTGTGTGCGAAACAAGGACAAAATTTCCACAGGTAAGTTCAGCGCAAGTTTCTTAATAGGTAAGTGCTCGCTCTTTTCACTCTTCTGTATAATGCGATCTCTGTGACTTACCACCTAGCTAGCGCAGTTGTTATTTTGCTTTCTCTTTTTTGTTCCCTATTTTTTTTTGTAAATCAATGGCTTCGCAATCTCTTCCCTCGACCCCTCGACCAGGATCTACTCCTATTCCTACGCCGGACGAATCTCGCACCCCAGGCAAATGGCGCCATCCCCATCTCAATGAAATCGTGCGACGCCAGAATGCGACTACCTTTGGCGATCATAACGTGAGAAGGCTTGTTTGGAATGGTGCAGCTTTAGCTGCGACCTGGTTTTTTGGGGGTACCTTCAAGTCATAGTGAGTGGTCGCATGAGACCAATCTCTCGCTGAGATCATTGTGCTGACCGAGGATTTAATAGTGCATCTGGTCTGCGCATTTTCAGCGACAATCCCACTTACCCAGATCTCTCGTTGCTGGGCTTACAGCTCTTCTTCGTTTTGAACATCTTCGTTGCATTATACCCCGTCCTCCGACCGAAGGATGACCTCGTCGATATTCCTCTGACTCCCACACAACGCTCGCTGTTGGGGCTGGACCCTTCCGCTTCGCATCATGCATCACCGGGAACTACCTATGTTACTCCACCAAGATATCGCGTTTCTGCATCGCGCACAGCGAGCCCAGCAGGCAGAAGTGCGTCACCATTGTCGGCGAGCGCGAGCTTTTCGGGACAAGGAGCTTCATCGGGGCCAACATTCTCGCCTTCAACGAGCCCATTGCTCTACAAGGCAGTGTCAAATGGTGGCAGGGAGAACACACGGAGACCAAGCTTCAGTTCCTCGACGGGGCTTGGTTCATCTGGATTTGGCACCTCCGGATTTAATGCCTCTGGATTTGGTGCCTCTGGATTTGGTGCTTCTGGATTTGGTGCCTCCGGGTTTGATTCCTCGTTCGGATCATCCTCTCCTTTCGGTCGGAGCTCTCTGAGAGAGTCGCATTTTGGACCCCCGGCAACTCCGTCACCCATTGGAGGCAAACGCGTGAATATCGGATTGAGCAACAAATGGTTATATGAGAGGAGTAGGCGGTTATCAACCAGCAACGGGGCGCTTTAAGTGGTTACTTTGCTTTGTGAGTGTTCTTCGTTATACTGCACGCGGGGTGGGGGCCAGGCGTAAATTGTGTGTTCTGTTATTTTTTTTTTTTTTTTTTTTTTTTTTTTTTTTTTTTTTTTTTTTTTCAGAGAAACCATTATTCCATCTTTTGGATCAGCGACTAGAAATCAATTCAGTTAAGCATCTTTAAATTACAATAAAAAAAAAAGTACGTTAATTTCCCCGTGTTACTATGGGGAAGTACATACTCCGCAACGCAGGCAAGCCGGAGCGGTCATTAGTTCCCGCCAACGACGGCCGGAAACGACAGACGTACTTGTTGTACTTGCATACACATCCCCAAAGCCACTCTTCTGGCATCAAGGCATCCCAGGTGCATCATCTTTAATTAAAGGATTCATACTAGGGACGCCAACTTGGAATCTTCCTTTGAATGCGGTCAAGCGTGATCAACGGTTGGAGATAGCATCACAATGGGAGCGTCGGAGTCCAAGCTTGTCTTTAAGCAAGGAATCTTTCGCCTTTCTGAAGAAAGAGACATTCCTGCTGATGATCCTTACTGGACCAGGGTTCGTGACTTCATCTATTGCTCCATTCAAATTAGCTGTAACTGACTATTTAACCTCCAAGTTTTGGGAATTGCCCGAATCGACCGAAGACGTCTTCAGCTTGTTCACCCCCGCAGACATTCGACGAACGCGCGACAATGCACTGTCGAACTTCGAGACCCTACTATTGTCTATAACCTCCCGCCTAACCGTCCTAAAGAACCACCCTTCCTTTCCGGACCCAGAACTGGCTCCTCCTAAAGACGCACTCAATTGTATCCGCATCCTGACCCGAGTCCTTCCCTTTGTCTATGAAGCCGAACACCTGGAAGATTGGGAGGAAAAGTTCTTCTGGTCACGTCGTAAGAAGAAGACTAGACAGGCGCAAATTTCGTCAGAGGTCCTTTTCGATGAAGCGCAAGCTGAAGAGCAGCGGGACCAGGCATCGCCGCGAACTGACGACTATGAGGACGTGAAGCCCTTAGCGGAGGAGATTATTGACACTGTTCTGGATCTTCTGTTCTATACAGACTTTACCATCCCTCAAATCTCGACGACGACTAGCAAGGTTTCCCATTCTATCTGGCAGAGCGGTGTTGGTTGCAACACGTCAATGGGGTCGAATAAGGAGATGGAAAACAATCGCTGTGAGATCCTTCGGCTGTTACTAACATTGACCTCAAAGGCGATGTATATCTCATCAAGTAAATGCTACATATCATGTTTTCCTCTGAACCAGCTGACGTTTCCCAAGGTGTGCTTCCGGTACAAGGGGTGAAGACTATTACGTATATCACGACATGCCACGATAAGCAGACGGTTTTAACGCTGCTATGTTCGCTATTGAATACAGTATGTATACGAATGTTAGTATCTTGAAGATCGACGCTTACCCGATACAGGCGGTCAAATACAACCCTGCTTCCTGGAGAGTCCCATATGATCACGTCGTGTGGAAAGATCCCAAACAGATTCTAGTCATCTATTGCTTACAGTTTTTGCTCGTTCTTCTTCTGTATCCGATCCCTGAAGATGGCCGCGGCGCTCCCCCTAAAAACTACTACCGTCACTATTTTGGGCGGTTACACAGGCCCCAAGATTTTCAATTTCTTGTTGACGGAATGACCAGGATTTTAAACCAGCCAGTAAGCTACGCCAACGAGTTTATGAGATGCATTACTAATGGTTCAAATCACAGATGCAAGCGACCAACTCTTATCTTCCCGGTAGCCAACGCTCTGTGAAATGGGCACCGGAAATGCTAATGCTCTTCTGGGAGGCTTTGCAGTGCAACAAGCGATTCCGGTCATTTATGATTGATTCGAATCGCGCTCACGACTTTGTCATTCTCTGCCTCTTCTATGCAATTGAATACAAGGCCGACCCATCCAAACAAGGAGTGGTCCGTATGTGCATCTTCATTCTACAGACAATGAGCGTTGAGCCCAATTTTGGGAGAAGTCTGAATAAGAAGTTCGAGGCTCAAGATACCCTGCCTCAAAGCATCCATATTCCTAACTTCAGAGGCTCTTATGCGGATTACCTTATTATGGTTCGTTCATCTTTGTGCGGTTCAAAGATTGCTGCTGACGTTGATAGTCTATTCATACTCTAATCGCCACGAGCAAAGGCATGCTAAACGCGGTTTATCCCGCTCTTCTGGCCATCACCAACAACATAGCTCCATATGTGGAACATTTGTCACCGGGAGCGTGCTCCAAGATCCTGCAGCTCTTCTCGTCAATGTCGACACCTAGCTTCCTGTTAGCCAATGAAACGAACCACAACCTTCTCGCCTCGATCCTCGAATCCATCAACTCTATTCTTGAACATCAATTCTCCAGTATGTTCCAAGTGGCTGTGTTTTCTAATGTCGACCATATCGCTAATCAAGTACAGATAACCCATATCTCGTGTATGCCATTCTGAAATACCGTAAGCGTTTCGAAGCTGTTCGTACTTTCACACTTGAGAGTGGACAGCAAGAAATTGAACGTCAAAATGAGAGGAGAAAAGCGAAGAACAGCTTTGACTCGCTCGGCAGCATTACTCCTTCACAGTCATCAGAAGACCTTCATACTTCTGATGCACGGTCGTCTCTAAGCCGTATACCCGAAGAAAATGGTCCTTTTGCTATTGGTGAAGATGATTCTGATGATGAACGAGATGACGAGAACACTGCGCCACCATCTACTCAGACCTCTCGGAGACCCTCCGTGTCATCAATGATGGATGAGAGCGTGCCGCTTCAGCTTCGCGGAATGTCTGAAAAGGCGCGGGGGAAGATGCCAGCTGGACATCCAACTTTCTCCCGGCAAAACAGCATGACAAGTCAAAGCAGCATGTCCGGCAGCTTAACGATATCTCCCAACGGTTTCACACCAACCGCTGCTTGGGTAAGCGAAATCCCTCAGTCGATTTTCTTTCTCTTTTACTGACGATAGCACGTCTAGCTTGAATCATGGTTGCCAGAGCTTCCTCTCCATACCGTCCTTACTATTATCTCTGCCATTACTCCTCATGTCCCCGAGTCCGCGTTCCAAACGGTTTCAAATCCTGAGGCCCGTACTCTAATCTCCAACATCTCATCTTTTGAGGGAGATCCTGCAATCCAGACGATTATTTCGGAGCCTTCGCCCATCCGTGTCCATTCCTTTGAGTGGTCACCGCTTTCGATGGGATGGTATGAATCTCTGCTTTGGGGATTCGTCTTCTCTAGTGAGATGGTGGTTGGTACTGCGTCCGGTGCTACACCCGGCACTGTCGGTGTTTGGAATGGAACAGGCATTCGGCTGTTCAAGGTCCAAGAGGCTGCCGCTCAGGGGCCCACGTTGCTTGCACCCAAGGGCGCAGTTGATGCTGTAGGAAGCAATCTAGTCCAGCGCATTGGAAATTTGAGTCTCCGACGCACCAGCACGCAGGAATCCCAGAACAACTCCAGACCAGCAAGCATTCGGGAGGTCTAATATACAACAGCTGAATGCCCACGATTTTACTGGTAATATGGGAATTGGCTATGTCTTTCAAAAGTGCGGTATTTTCGATGATTCCTGTTTCGCTATGATACCTGGTTGGCATTTTCACAACGCGATCGGGCCGGGGCTTTTATTCAATGGGACTATGGTTTTAATCAATACCTATTTATTGTGGTTGCGCTTTTCGAGAACGGGCGTCGGGAGGTCCGATTTAGGCGGGTGTTTGATCGTAGATACAATCGGTTACTAGTATACGTTCAGTTACCACCGTTATATGTACATAGTTTTATTTCTTTAAATCTCAATATATTTTATTTCCTCGACCTCTTTTTAACCCCTTGTCGATACCTTTCCATAGAAATGGTGGCGCCCCACGTGACTTGGTACCTGGATCGCCAAATACGAGTAAATAAAATGCAGCAACAACAACTGCTCAGGGGTTGATTTGGTACCGAACATCCAATTTTAAATCGCCATTTATTTGAAACTACTTACTCTGGAATTGAACTGGATCACCGTCACGATGAGGCTATCCCTTTTCATCGCCGGTGCTTTTGTATCCACCGCTGTCGGCATCTCACCGGAATTCCAGAACGTGCTTCAAAATACGCATAAAAGCAACGAATATGGATATCCGACGGACTTTACGAGGGGGATAATGCCCGTGAGTCCAGTGTCTTTATTCGTGTTTATCTTATGGGAAGCAGAGCTGACGAATAAGGAACAAGATCCCGGTTCATTCGCACAAGTCCAGATCCCTAGTTATAGTTGGAGAAGGACAAAGTCGCTAATGATTTGATAGTGATTATTGGAGAGATATTCCCTTTTATACTGGTCTTTCAGAGGGATGTATATCTACTGAAGCAGATGTCTGGCTTTACAATGGCACCCTTTTTGTGAGTTTGACGTATTTGGCTTCTTTTGTAGAATTGTCTGTGCTGAACTTTGTATAGGTTGGCCATGACGAGTCATCTTTGACAAGCACGCGCACTCTGGAGTCACTCTACATCAATCCAATACTGGACGTCCTCAGACGTCAGAATCCCGAGAGTCGGTTCGTGTCTGAGGCTACAAAGCAGTAAGTCCGCGCTGTCCAATATCAGGGTTGTGAATGGTCTAGTCTAATTGAAATAGCGGCGTCTTCGACACTGTCAGAGATCAGACCCTTTACTTCTTCATTGACGTGAAGACTGCCGGCCCCGAGACATTCGACGCCGTCATCTCAGCACTGAAACCACTCCGTGAGGAGGGCTACCTCACATTCTTGAAGGACAACAGGACCATGAACTACGGACCCGTCACCGTCATCGGTACGGGAAACACACCCCTCAAAAAGGTGGCCTCTACCGCAAACCGAGACTACTTCTATGACGCACCATTGGATGCTTTGAATGACCCGGAGTACAAAGGAATCACTTCCCAAATCTCTCCCATTGCATCTACCAGCTTCAAGGACGCTGTCGGGGTTGTCACTTCTGACACAGATCCTATCTTGAATGATGAGCAGACGAAGGCGATTCGCTCGCAGATTACTATTGCGAAGGAGAGGGGAATTGGAGCTAGGTATTGGGAGACACCCTATTATCCGATTAGAACGAGGAATCTTGTTTGGCGGACGTTGCTCCGGGAAGGTGTTACGTTGCTTAATGCTGATGATCTGAAATCTGTTGCGGAGATCTTCTGAGGGTACATGCTGCTTATACTATTATTATACCAGGTATATAATTTTTCGTGGCTCTTTCAAAGGGTTCGGACTGGATTGAAACCCATTAATGAAAAGGTTCAAATCCGATTATTAACTGCCGTTTAGCATGAGTTATGTCTCGTAAGCATATAACCGTGACTTCTTTTGCTATATTCAGTACTATATACCCTTAGTATAGACTTAGAATAACGTTAAATGGAAAGTGGAATCCAGGGTCAAGGCACGTGATGCACCGCAAAGGATGCCGTCAGGAGGTCAACGCAATTGAAACCCCTGATTCTCTATGAACACAAGCACCATTGGCATCTCGCCTGGCTGCCTTAATGTCCACAGCCGATGCTGATCTGGGGGAGCTCTTGGCTCAGGTGCTCCCCGCCGGAATCAAAATCACTGTCCGACATGTCTCGTCCACCCCGACCCCATGCTCCGCGCTCTTTGCAGCACCCCCCGGCGAAGAACCAGAAGCCACTTTCTGCGCGAACCATTTCCTGTCCGTCTCTGTCAACAAGGATGATCACAATGACAGCAACGGTAAAGGGTCTGAGATCATCGTGTTCGGAATGGAAGTGCTGGTCTACAGTACCGCGCACTTGACGACCATCTTTGTCTCCAAAGCTGACTCTACGGGCCATTTGAATCTACTCCAGCCTATGTCCAAGGTTTCACTACTACGATTGATTTCGAATACGTTCCTGTCCTTCCTCCTGCGTACCCATCAACAACCGGGCGTCCGACTCGTACTATCCCTGTTCGCGCGCGCGCAAAACCAATACCTCTTCCCCGGAAGCATTCATAACCCAGGAAAGCACGTCCTCGATGATCGTGGATTGATAAAATGGTGGTGTCGCGTGGCGGATCTGATCCTACGAGAGTATGAGCCGGAGTCTGGCGGTTACGAGAAAGGGCTTCTGGACCGAACAATGGAATCCGCAAAGAGCTCAGCTACGGCGTTCCTGATCGTCCCGGGTTGCGACAAGTTCGAAACACGAGGATTCTTCCCGCCCGCGGCTAAAAAGGATGACAAGGAGCGACCTCGATGGGTCAGCAGTTATCCTGTCTGTCAATTATGCGACAACCCTGAAGCTCCTCCGCGTTGCTTGATTCCCCGATTGCCGGACGATCCAAAGACACGGTTCTTGATAGACCTGGACGATGAGTTGCCTGAATTGAAGGAGCCCGAAGAACAGAGCAAGAGACCCCCAGGTCAGTGGCGGAGTATTCGGTCATTGGATCAGTTCTGGGAGATGATGTCTTTTCGACAGGAGTGTTCGGCTGGGCGATTGGTTGGGTTCTTGTGGCTTGTGGTTAATCCGCCGGGGCTGGAGAATTCGGTGCAGATGACGAGCTCTAGGGTAGTGACTGGAGGCACTGGCAAAGAAGTTACTGAATTCACGGCTTTTCAAAGCGCACCGACAGAGGAAGAATCGAAGACTTCACCGTCGAAGGATGCTCTGAATGATGACAAGACTCAGGCACTATTGCCGCAGCTACAAGAGACCCAGAAGCAAACTACTGAACAACCACCATTCCACTGGCCAGAAGGCGGACGAGGAGACGCAGTTCTCAGCGAGGCTGATTACAAGGCCGCTGTTGACTTCCTCCTTACTCAAGACTTTGACAACGAAGAGCTTTCCATTGCCAGTACCAAGGAATGGACCGAAGAGCTCGCATCCATAACGGACCAGCTTTGGATGGGCAAGCATGTCGAGGGCAGGAACACTAGCACCGGACAGCCTACATCGCAAACCTCTCAGACAACCAATCTCATGAGCAGTGGTCTGGTCCGGAAGCGGACGAAGGAAGACCAAGGCCAAGACACAGCGAAGGTTGGTGATGGTGCTGCGGCTACTTCGGAGCCTGCCCAGTCCTCGTTGGGTGTCAATGTGCTTGGGACGAACTTGATCCGGAAGAAGAAGAAGACGTAGAGTGTGTACGAGTAGCAGGTGGGAAACGGATATTTGCATGGGACAGGGATTCGGAGTTCTCTTGGGAAGCTATTAAAGCTGGGCATTGTGTTAAGTACCAATTATCATGTAGTATGTAATCATGTATTATTAGCTTTTGTTCTCAGTTGTTCAATTAATGCCAAATAATGTAACCATTGTTATTGCTGAGGCTGTGAGGCTCCGCGGGTCACCGCAAATATACCCCCCCCCCCGGTTTTGTCGAAGCTGTTACCCACCAACAACCATCCGTCGCAGAAAAAGGTCCCTGCGCATTGAATCCACGCTGGGTCCGCTGTTTCCGAGCGGTTCAGCTGGTTCAGCTTCTCTCCTTTCCTTCTTCTTATTCCAGCCGCGCCAGTCGAAACGTCGCGATTTGCGCTCGACTCTTAACCGCCTCTTCACCTGGCATATAATGTCCTCATCGGCCGCGCTGGCCTTGGACTTTCCACTGTTTGATCTCCATAGCAATCGCCCATGCTGAAGCCTACGTCACAGTCAAAGTCCTCCGATGTCGATGGCGGGTTCCCGTGGTTGGACGCCGTGGGTTGGGGGTGTTTGATCTGGTATACCACGGTGCAGTTGGTTTGTGTTGTTGGATACTACCAAATGTATGCCCTGTTATTCCAGGGAAATAAAAACTTGCTAATTAGTATTTGTCCTAGATGGAAGTTTTTCTTGCAACGACCTCCAAAGTCCAGCTCGGCCACTCCTGTCTCCCACGCCCCCCATGTGACCGCCATCCGGCCCATCAAAGGATTAGAACCACATCTTTATGAGTGTCTAGCGTCGACTTTCTACCAGGATTACCCTCACGATAAACTATCTGTACACTTCTGCGTCTCGTCGCGAACGGATCCCGGCTATTCCACAGTGCAAAGAGTTCTGAACGATTTCCCCGATGCCAACGCGCGCCTTTTCATCGAAGACGAAGATCCTCTCCTACATCCGCAGAATGGCGATACATCGTACGCTTTGGGTCCCAACCCAAAAATTCGGAATATGAGTCGGCCGTACCGCGAAGCAAAGGGCGACATTATCTGGATCATCGATTGTAATGTTTGGGTGGGACCTGGCGTTTGTGGGCGGATGGTGGATAGACTCTGTGGGACTGGAAACACGCCTGGTAAGAAATACAAGTTCGTACACCATCTCCCGGTTGCGGTGGATGTTACGGGAGAAGGCAGCTTCAGGGAGGAAAGGCAGGCGCTTCTTGACGGAGCCTACGATGGCAACGCTGCCAACCGTGAAGCAGTGGTGGCTGCTCTTCCACACAAGGATTTGGATGCCGCTGGGGCTCTGGCAATGGGAGGTGGTCGCCTTGAGGAGTTGTTCCTGTCATCTGCGCACGCCAAAATGTACACGGCAATCAACACGGTTCTGATTGCGCCGTGTATCGTGGGCAAGTCCAACATGTTCCGTCGCTCACATCTAGATTACTTGACCGTGCCGTCGTCTACGAATCCGCACTCGCGTCTTCCCGGCATTGACTACTTTTCAGAAAATATCTGCGAGGATCATTTAATTGGGGACTTGTTGTGGAAGAATCGGGTTCGGGAGGAGAAGGAGTTGGGAGAACGCTTGGGCAAGCATGCCATGGTGTTTGGGGACCTCGCATTCCAGCCGGTGGCCAACATGAGCGTTCAAGCCTATCTGGCGCGGCGGGTCCGATGGCAGCGTGTCCGCAAGTTCACCGTTCTTCTCGCCACGTGGGTCGAGCCAGGTACGGAGTCGATTCTGTGTTCCCTGTATGGAGCATGGGGTGTCACGACTTCATTGGCTCAACATTTGCAGAATAAGGGGATTGAATGGGCACCCTTGCTGTCTACGTGGGCTGCATTTTTTGCATTTTTCAATCTGAGCATGGCGGCCTGGATCTTCGTAGATTGGACGTTGTATATCAAGCTGCACTCCGCAAAAACCGTCGAACTTGATGAGAATACGCCATCGTTTGCTCGACCACCAAGCTACAAAGGCTCGACTACCAGACGCTCCTTTTTAACCTGGTTTGCTGCATGGTGTGGCCGGGAACTTCTGGCATTGCCGATTTGGTTCTGGGCATTCTTTGGGGGTGTCACGGTGACATGGCGCGAACGACGATTCCGAGTGGGATTCGATGCTAAAGTGCGCGAGATTGAGTCTGGATCGAAGGCTCCGTTAGAGGGCTCGTATTCGAGCGGTAGTCGGGGTTATTCCAAAACTCGACGGGACTAGTTCGGCACGATTTATGCAGATAAACCATTGGTATTTCCCATCAGATCATAGACCATAGACCGTTCAAAGATTATACAAAATCATTTCTTCTCACCCTCCTCTGCAGCCCTAGATCCCGAGCTTTCCCCAACACCACTCTCCAACTCACCCCCCTTATCCGAACTCAACAACCACTCCACAACAGCCCTCCCCTGCGACATTGGCCCCTTTCCTTTCTCTTCACCTTTCCCTTCACCTTCTCCACCAACACTAGCTTCCACCTCTGCCTCCCCAGACTCATTCTCTTCTTCATCCTCCTTTACCTCACCAGTCGACCACGCCGTCCGCTCAGCAAGGAAGACGGCATCAAGACCAGCATCGTTCTTCACGGAGATATCAGCACCAGCTTCCACGAGCGCCTTGACGCAGTCTAGGTGCGTGTTCAGGGCGGCCCAGTGGAGGGGTGTGTTTCCGGAGTGATTGCGGTGGTTAATTAGTTTTTGCAAATGCTCTGGTTGTGTTTTCAACGCTTCCAGCAAGTAGTTCAGGATCTCTGTTTTTCGTTAGCACATAGTTCTTTTCACTGCATCGCAATCAAAACACCGGGAAAAAGGAAGGAGTACCAATATTCCCATTTGCAGCTGGAAAGTGCAACAAACAGCTCCCGGACCCGCCCTCTGCTTCGGGCTCTGCGTCCACGGCTGCGGACAAGACGGCAGCCTCAGGACATACGTATTGGGTGCTTAGTGATGCGAGGTCCTCCTTGAGCGCAGCGAGGTCGCCTGCGCGAGCGTCGTAGATGAGGTCGTCGATTGCCTCGAAGGGAAGGGCGAGCGACATTTTTCTTTCTTTGGTTCTGGGTATAGCTGAGGTTGATTATCTGCAGAGGGTTAGTGATTTGTGCACGCTGCATAGAAGACGGAAAAGAAATTTGCAGATTGAAAAGCACGCATGATACTGGATGTTTATCATAATCATACACTATTATACATGATTTTTTGCAGCATGTTTGGGCAAAACATCCAGAGGGGTAGCCAAAAAAAAAAAAAAAAAAGCTACTCTTCAGGGACAACACTCAACAACAGCAATGGAACAAGATTGAATACAAAATAACACTTCCTCGACGATATCATAAGTGGAATAAGTCCTTACCTTCTTTAAGACACACTGGACACTCACGCCGTCTTTTGCTGATGTTGCGATGGTTGTTGGTTAAGGAAAAACTTCGATGTTGAGTCATGTGATATCAAAGTGGAGATCGCCATCGATGTCCGTATAGAGCTCTACGGGTACAATAGGAATGACTACGATGCAGCTGGACAATGCCTTTTAATAATATACATTCATTGAAGAAAAAGTTATGCTCTAATATGATATGCAACAGCCCGGAACAATTTCAACAAAACGCCACCAAGGTATCACTCCGTATGCGAAAAACCAATACAAAACCAACCCATACTAATCCCGCAACCAAGCCCGCCGTTTCTCTTCCTTCTTTTCCCTCCGCTTATCCTTGAATGCCTTGAGTTCCTTCTTGCTCAGCTTTTTAGCACTCCGCTCCGCCCGGAGACTTCTCCCATCGTGGGTGTTAGCCGCCGCATCGACATCAAAGAACGCGTTCATCTGCCGATGTGACTTATTCTCGTCGCTGTAGTTCTCCGGCCGCAGCGAGTCTGCCTGCCACCGGCCCGTGAACCGGTTGAACGCCCCCGTAGCCTCGTAAGAATATCCAGGCGCCATCCCGGGAACGCCACCCGCAGCCGGGGAAGCTTCTGGGTTCCGTTCCTGTTCATACTGCTGCGCGTACGGGGCGGTCGGGTCATAGTCGCCGTGGATGGCGGGATTATAGCCGCCTGCGACGGGTGGTTTGGGCTGCCCTTGCTCTTGCTCTTGTTCTTGGTCGCCAGTCGTGTCCGGTGCGGACGCGAGTGCGGCCTCGGGGACGCGGGGGTTCTCCCATTGCGAGGCGCCTGTGAAGCGATTGTAAAAGTAGTAGGCTTGTGCATTTGGATCCCAGACGGGTTCCCAGCCATCGTCATCCCCTGGTGGTGCCTCGCTGGGGAGAGGAGGGGGGACTTCGTCTGGCAATGGTGGAGCTGAAGCCTCTTCTCCTTTTGTTTCTCCTTCCTCGGCCTCCCCTTCCTCGTCTAATTCTTCTTCCGCCACTTCCTCCTTTCCATTCGTTACATCGCCTGTGTCCGCTTGTTCTTCTTCCTTGTTATCTTTCTCTGCTGTCTCTGGCGCGACCTCCGTAGGCTCCTTGTCATGTTGCGGAGATGCAGGAGCTGGGCTGCTGTCGCCCTGGTCGGTGCGGTGAGGGTTTGGAGGGTGGTCGGTCATATTTATTAGTCTTTTTTCTGAGCTGTATGTATGATAATAATTCAGGATCAATGAGAGAGGGCGCGAGAGAAGGTCTACAATGTGTTGAATCACAGAATCGCATTGCGGATGGGAATTCGAGTTACGTTGACACTAAACCACTTTAGGAATAGCGCATATCGCATATTTACCTATATTGAAACAGCAAAGAACAAGACAAGAAAGAAAAGACACAAAATGGTATCTCAGGAAAAGACAATTCACTCCAGCACAACCTTCTGCTCAACCAAAGCATCAACAGCCTCTTCCGCCCAGTCCTGGCACCGTCTCAGCGGCTCCTTAGGATACAACCTTCTAGCTCCCTTAAACTGCTTCTTCGGAGCGGGAATGTTTTGATAAATAGCAACGAAGCGAGGATGATCGTCTTTAGAAAGTTCTGATGCGTTTCTTCTCAGCGAATACGGGCGACTTCTCCGGTTCTTCAGTGGCTTTGGCTTCATACACCATGCCGCTTTGGATATCGCCTTGGACGTTGTAGATGTGCCCGGTTTGGGGGCCTGCTTCGTGGGTTTTGACGAAGAGGGCGTAGTGGTCCCATGGGAAGCCGATTTTATTATGAGGTAGACGGTGTATTACATGATTATATTTGTGGTGGATGTGGATAAGGAAATTGGAGAAGTTGAACATTGACTTTTATAAGAACCAGGGAAACATGGAAGAAAACTGTCAAATCATATACATGGGACGTGGTCTAAGTCTGTATTGATAGAACTTGCATCCACTGTCAGCAACTAACTTCTGCTACTCGTCTTCTTGGGTGATGAAATCAATGCTTTGCAGGTTTCGCTATACCCTGTAGTGGAGATCTTTCCCTAACAGCAATATGAACTACGCCCAGCTATGGAGTACACGGGAGCACCTTTCCCTTTGACAAACAAGGAAGTATTAAATGGCCTTCCGACATGTATTCATTATTTAAATTAATTTTTTGTATGTCGGCATTACCTGCATCCCGAGAAGGTTGTGGGAGGGAAACGGCATCAGTAAGGCTAGTTAGAAACACGCTTCTTCGGACCTAACAGACTAAGTCCAGTTGACGCTTTGATACGACAGGATGGCACGATTCTCATCAATCCTTCAATAACAGGGACGAGAGGTGCGAGGTCTGGGATATTCACATGTTCAACAAGCCTTCGTTTTAGTTCTGATACTTGATTATCTATGAGAATCAGCCATAACGTTCTCTTGCATTGCATTGTTTGTAACTCACTTCTCTTCCTATCAAGCCCATGTCCAACACTGTATTGCGCTTTCCAGTCTTCTGGTATATTATTCGTTCCCACTAACCCTATCATCTGCGCCACCAAGGCATTATTATCTCCCTTATACGTAAAGGGGCTTGCCCCAAAAACGAACGAGTATATCTATAAAGATCAGTATAGCATTCAAAGTAAAGGCGGGGTCACGGACCACACATCCAGCGCGCCACAGGTCAACTCTATAGTCAAATGACCCCGTGAAGATAGTCTCAGGGGCTGGCAATGGGCCAGGTTTGGCTACTTTCCCATTCTTTTCCCATTGAAAAAAGCTCCTTCCAAAATCGATTATTCGAAGATCTTCGTGATCTTCCTCTACCCAGCTATCCCATACTATTGCCTTTACCAGATGTGTCGGTAGCCCTTCATCCAGAGCTCTACCATCCGAACGTACTAGTGGCTCGACCTCTGGGATTCCGACGAATTTGAAAATACGTTCCCTTATCGTTGATAATGATTTACCGCTGAATACAACGGTCCATCCACTAATGTCTGTCATCATGTCAGCTAGAGCAAAGAGTTGGAGAGAATAGGGCATTACCCCCATGCGCCATTCCGGCACTATGAATAAACTCGACGCACTCGAGGAGCTGCCTTGACATTCGCATGATAGTACCTGGCTCGAGTTTATCTCCAGGATCCGTATATTCCGGGTGATCCGCACAGGCAGAGTAGTCCATGAGCACCCATTCGACAGGCGGCCCAAGCAGCTCAAATACCAGACACTGGTGGTCCCCATTAGGGCCGCTGTGAGAAAAGATGTCAAGGAACTGGATGACATATTTGGAGGACAAACGTCCCTTGCATTTTCCCTCTAATAGCTGCAAATGATGCAGTTCTCGGGATCTCGATGAATCGTCTGCGTTTGCAGCCACGATCTCAAGTGAGACCCAGTAGCCATTGCTGTAGTGCGTTAGTGGTGATAACATGAACAGTGCGGGGCCTTTGCCTACCTTTTGTCGTACGCCAACCAGGTCGTCGAGTACTTTCCCCATCCTAACTTATGATGTATCTGGTAACGGCCATTTTTAAAGCTATCACCAAGGGTGACTGGATGATAACCGCCTGGTTTATATCCCAGCAATGGCTCCTGTGTATAAAACAGGTGGTTTGGCTGATATAAAAAGGTTTCCTTCATTGTAAAGGCCAAGTAACACTTTCGAACAAATGTGTTGAGGGGAAAGGATTGCGAGAAGGGAACTTGTTATCCCTTCTATCCCTTTTTGGTCACGTGTACATCCAGTTCAGCATTCGCCATGCTATTGAAATATCAACAAACTGGTTTTTCTCTTGTCTTGTCTAAAGTATCGAGATAGGTTCGGTGTCTATGAATTCGTTGAATTATCTATATGCCTTCTTGCTTCGGATATCTCCATACATACAAACCAGACTAACTTTATTCAACCCAAATAAAATAAAATAAAATAAAATAATAGGAACAAATCAAGAACGAACCGTAAACAACATCGCGCTTCCACACTCCAGAGACAAAGACCACGTAGGCCAAAAAACCGACACCGAAACAGGTCTATTCACATTCCACAAACGAGCGCTCGAAAAACCAGAAACGAATACGACATAGGCCTTATCCCAATCTTCTTAGCGAAACTGGAAGATATTATCATCCGGTGTAATTGCCTGATGCACAACCTCCTGTGGTTCCTTTCGTCCGGCAATCTGCACCGCGCACGCTGTCTCGATTGAATCCACCATGATCGTCTCATCGGAGAGAGTTGGCGAAAGAGGCGAGATAGTCGAAACAGGGGACATGGGTGGGGAGAAAGCAGTCATGGAAGATGTCGGAGAAGATGGGCTGAAGGGGCCAGAGTAAAACTTGGGGGAGAACTCGAGGTTGAGTCGGAAGCTAGAGCGCTGGCTGGCGCGGAGGGCATTGAAAATGTCAATGAGAGAGCGACGGCGGCTTAGGCGGGTGGAGAGGTAGGAGAGGTGGTGGGAGTCTTGTTCCTTTTTGTATTGCAATGGCTCAGGTGCTGACACCGGCTCCGGTTGCTGTTTAGGCTCATGCACCTGGATTTGCACTTGCTCCTGTTGTCGATGCTCCGACTCTTGGTGTTCTTGGTTTCCTTGTGGCTCCTTTTGCTCTGTTAATGTTTCCTCGCTCAGAGCTCCTGTCTTTGATGCCTCCTGCTCCGGTGATGTAGTGACAGCAGTTCCAATCCTGTCGGTCAGCTCCTCCGGTTCTTGTTCCTCCCTAATCGCTTCCGTGATGCAATTTCTGAATTCTGGAATCATATCCAGACAAGCCGATGTCCTAGTTGTTGTCCTCGAATTTCTTCTAGGCGACGTCACAGCCGGTAGTGGTGCCGTCGTAGCCAAATCCTTCTCAATCTTCCTCATCTCCACAAGAACAGCCTCCTCGTCAGGTTCAGGCATTATGATTGTCCGATCATCGCTGAGAAACGACGCCGCGTCGGAGAACCCAGTGTTTAACTGGTCTTTTTCGTCCCATTCCAGTGTAGGTTCCGAATCTGAGTATTCGACGATGCGGATGGAGGGTGGTGCTGTCTCCTGCGGGGGGGGCTTTCTGGCAATTCGGTGGGGTTTCTGGGGGAGGCCGGAGGAGTCAATATATGTTGGTTGCTTTGGGGGGTCATGGTGTAATGGGTTGCTTCGTAGAGAAGAGGAGCCGTTGGTTGGTTTTCGGGGTTGAGCACAGGGGAGGAAGAGGCTTGTTAGCCAGCTCATTTTCAGTTAAGTATAGCAGTGGTACCGAGTATATTCACAGCGAGTAAAATGAGAGAAGAGAAGAGAGAGTTTGTTTCCGTCCGATACACAAGAAAAAAACAAACAACTGGAAATGGGAGAAGATAAATTGCTTTTATATGTCAATACACCACTGTCCGAGACAAGGCCAACCGTCGGACTGGAGACGAGGCAATAAATGCAATATCCAATGTTTATGGTATAGTTCCAGCTAGGTTACAGAATAATGCAGCCGTACCTGCATGTGGCAATTCCTATGCATTGAGAAGCCTACATCGCTCTACAATTCATAACATGATGACGTTGAATACTCTATTTCGCACTTCTATTCTTCAGCACATCAACATCATAAATAGTTCTATCTTGATACTCGTAGCAACCACAAACAAAAACACAGCATCAGCCTCAGACATTCAAACATCATCACTCCTCGTAGCCGTAGCATCCGGACTTGCATGCATACGATACAGATTATACCTGCAAGGAACACCAATCAGCCGCAAAACGGGTGTCTAAAAAAGCTCTTGATACCAGCTGCGCTGGCTATGTCTCATTCTGAGATTATGAATGCAGTTATCAAAGCAGTATCATGGTGGTTGGTGAAGTTTTATGGTGCTGTAAGGAGATCTAGAGAGTAGCTGTAAAGGTATGAAATTAGGGCTGGATAGCAAATAGCAGGCACCAGCCACTCGGGAGCAGTGGCTGGGAGTATATATCCCTTTCATCACTACGGATAAGTACGAGTAGAGCTTCAAGGTTTTATTTCTTATCCCTAGATACATCATACGGCTGAGTTCGAGAGGTTATTGTCTTGGGTGAGATAAGATGGATTTATCTCACTACCTCAACAAGCACGATTAAGCACATGAATGATACAAATCATAACATCGTCGAATACTCCGAGGGAAACGTTCATTTTGGGGGTATTTTCCTACCACGATTTCGAAACTTGCTATACACTATACAAGCAAGGGATACGATATATATATCCCTAGAGAACATGTGTGGCCGGCCGGCGGTCGGAAAAAGAACTGGCGAATTCTTTACTACGTACCTTGAACTGTTGCTATTGAATGACAAGACTGCTAAAACCAGTACGGAATAGCCCACCAATGCACCATTCGGGCCAGTGGGTCATGTGACTTCCCAAAAATGGAAAGAGGCCACCATCCTGCGAGCACATCATCGCAAACTTCATTATACAATTGCCCTAGAAATACGGAGTGGACAATGGCTCTAATTAAGCTTAAAAATGAGCATAGTCCGGTCTCCAACAGGATGGTTCAGGGCAGGATCTTCCTTCGCCATCGGAGTTTGCAATGGTGCAATCGGCGTTTGGTTTTTTGGAGAATGAGTCTTTCTGGGATATGGTCATTTATAGCCATTGCTAGTCGCAATTCCCAAGAGAAAGACACTGTCTGCTACCCATACCCGTCAATTGCTTATGTACTAAAAGCCGCTGAAAATGACCTCAAAAGAAACCCACGAGACCAATGGTAGCACCAGCACCGGCACCAACCCGGTGGACCTAGAGCACCAGGCACGAGCTGACACGCTGGTTGTTGAGTTGCCTAAGTCCCTCGGAGCAGGGGTAAATTTTGCCTCATCATGCATGTGATGAAACGAACGCTTGCTGATTCTTGCAGTCTGCATTGGCCCTTGGCGCATTCGGCACAACCCTGACGACGCTCTCGCTGAGTCTCATGGAATGGCGAGGCGTTACTGTCACAAATGCCTTTGTTGCCAATTTCTTCTTCATCGCGGCGTTTGGTTTGGTGATCACGGCACAATGGGAGCTGTCTATCGGAAATGGCTTTGCGTACACGGTTTTTAGTGCTTTCGGTATGTTCGCACACAACATCATAGCTTATCATCTGGTGACTGACTGGTCAGGTCTTTTCTACGCCGGTTACGGAGCCCTCCTTACACCCGCCTTCGGAGTCGAGCAGGCATTCGGCAGCGATACAGCGCAGTACAACAACGCAGTTGGATTTTTCATGATCCTGTGGACGGTCTTCGTCTTTACATTCCTGATTGGGTCGATACCTAGCAATCTCGCGTACATACTAGTGTTTTTCTTCGTGGACCTGGGATTTCTCACTGTCGCGGCGAGCTACTTTGCCGCGGCGGACGGGCACCAGGCATCGTCGGTCGCGTTGAAGAAGTCTGGTGGTGCATTTTGTTTTGTTGCGGGTCTTGTAGGATGGTATATTGTGTTTCATTTGATGTTGAAAGATTCGTTGTTGGATCTCCCATTGGGTGATACTAGTCGTTATTTTGCGAAGAAGAAGCGCACGTAATTTGTATAGAGGGATTATTCGGATGATAGACATACGAAGTACATAGATAGGGCAGTGGTAAATGGATGATCTACAAACCTTAATATACTATTGCGCCATGTTCCTGTTTGCATAGATACTGTATACTCACTCCTACTCTTGTCTGTACTCCGTACTTTTGTAAACCCTGTACATCCTGTACCTTCAATATGATCTACATCCATATACCCGATAACGACATGGTCCACCCAATTGACGAAACTGGCGCAATTGAAGCTAACCTCGGTCACCCCATATCACATCATCCACTGCGAGCATCATGTAACTACATATCCCTCATATATGCAACATCTCCATAAATACATCCACCAAACCCCCTCAAACCCTCCAATAACACCAACAATCAATTCATCACAATCTAATCAACATGGCCGACGTTCCCGCTACAGACCCCTCCATCTACGCCTCCTACGAGTCCAAATGGGCAACCCTCCCCTCCACCGCAGAGGAATGGCTATCCCGCGCGCGCGAAGTTGCTGATGTCCTTGCGCAAGATGCGCCGCAGCGGGATTTAGAGCATAAATCGCCGCGCGCGGAAGTTGTGCTTCTCAAGCACTCCGGATTGCTCAAATTGCTGGGACCAAAGAGGTATGGTGGTGGTGAGCAGCCGTGGACGGTGGGGTACCAGGTGATTCGGGAGGTTGCGAAGGCAGATGGGTATGTATACACCTTGAAAGATCTGGATGGATGGTTGACTAACTGAGTTGATGATAGGTCTATTGGAATGCTCCTTGGTTACCACCTTTTGTGGTCGACAACTGCCAATGTCATCGGAACACCCGAGCAAATTAAGCGCACGCACGAGGCCATCATCTCGAATAATTACTTTGTCGGTGGTGCTGTGAATCCCCGCGACAGTGACCTCAAGATCATCTCCGACGGCGACAGTATCATCTTCAACGGCGCCAAGTTCTTCAACACCGGTGGTGTTGTTTCTGACCTTACCGTTCTCGAGGGTGTGCTTGACGGCACACAAGACCACGTTTTTGCTATCGTGCCCACAAATCAACCGGGTATCCAATTCGCGCACAACTGGAGCAACGTCGGGCTACGCCTGACCGAATCTGGTGGCGTGAAGATCGATAACGTCCGCGCGCCATGGGAAGATGCCCTTGGTTGGGATGCTGCATCTAAGCAACCGCGCGATGATACACTCAAGATTCAATTCCCCAGCTTATTGCTTCCCTCGTACGTTCCTTTCCGCACACCCAACTTAAACAGTTCATGCTAACAAAGCGCAGCATCCAACTCGTCTTCGGCAACTTCTACCTCGGCATCGCCCAGGGCGCCCTATCCTTCGCCTCCAAATACACAACCACAAGTACCCGCCCCTGGCCGTTTGGTGGGGACAACAAGGCCTCCGCCACAGAGGAATTCTACATCCTCGAGCGCTATGGCAACTTCTTCGCGCACTTGCGCGCCGCAGAAGCCCTGGCCGACCGCGCCGCTGAGCAGCTCTCCTCGCTCTACGGTACCTACGGGTCTAACCGGGGTGCACTGACTTCGCGTGAGCGTGGGGAGGTTGCGGAGTGGGTTGCGAGTGTTAAGGTTGTTACGACGGATACGGCGCTAAGAGTTACGAACGGGGTGTTTGAGGTTACTGGGGCGAGGGCGACGGGGTTGAAGGTTGGCCTGGATCGGTTCTGGAGGGATATTCGCACGCATACGTTGCATGATCCTGTGGCGTATAAGAACCGGGAGTTGGGGAGATACGTGTTGCTTGGGGAGGTTCCGGAGCCGACTTGGTATACTTAAGTCATTTGGTACAAGAGAGGTTCCACGTCAGTCTTGGGATAGATATATAAGTACACGATACCATGAATATTTTGACTCATCACAATCAGACACTGATGCTCACCAAAGCAAGTACATTAAAAATAGATATTATTATTCTTTATGAGCAGGACCTAGTTTATATAGAATTAGGCTTGCTGCATATCCATCGTCATCCGTCTAACCACGGCGGCGCAGTCTGTTGTACAACGCCTCGATCTCATTACCCATGCGGCGCTCAGTGTCCTTCTCCAACATCCGGCGCTCAGGCACACGCTTCGAGATAGCAGCCTGAGCCTCCTCACGCGCCATCTCGACATGTGCAAAGACAGCGGCGCGCTTGCCACTGAACATAGCGTGCGGCACGTTGGTGCTGTTGTCACTGTTCGCATCACCGACAGCCCACACACCAGGCAGAGACGTCCGCAGACCAGAGTTCGTCTGCGTGTCGATCTTGTTACCCAGCATCTTGAGGCCAAGCTGGTCGGGGATATTCGAGCGCTGCGCAGTGGGGTAGTTAGTGATGAAAGCGTTGCGCTCGACGGGCTCGCCCTCGGTGAAGTGTACGAGGAACTTGTCGAATTGGCGGCCCTGGTCGTCCTGGTGGGTTTCGCCGTCTTGGATGCGCTCGATCTCAGTGATGGTGCGGTTGTCGAGTCGAATGTCGTACGCTTCCACGATTTCTTTCCAGTCGGGGTGGGCCTCGGTCAGAATAGCCTCCTGCTCGGGGGTGTGGGTGCCATTCAGGAAGGCAATGATGTCGTGGTTCAAGGTAGTGTACACCTCAAATGTGCTGCCAATAATATCCTGCAGAGCACCCAGGATACCGAATGGCTGGTCACGGTGTTCGTAGCCATCGCACCAGGGGCACCAGAAGATACCCTTGCCGAAAGCTTCCTCCAGTCCGGGGGTGTCAGGGAGGACGTCACGGAGGCCAGTGCCCAGGACGACCTTGCGGGCCGTGTAGGTCTTGCCGGAGGCATCGGTGGCTTCGAAGATGTTGTCGATGGGCTTGATGCTGGAAATGGAAGTGTCGATGATAGTGGAGGTGTTGTAACGGAGAATTTGCTTGCGGGCGGCGCCACGGAATTCAGCGGGGACGGTTCCTGCTTACATTAGCATTGTGTTAAAATCGGGTAAATGGTAAGGAAGTACCATCGTTGCCAATAACATCGTGCATGTTGCGGGTAGGTGCGTTGCGATACTCGCCCGAGTCGAACAAAGCAGTCCGACGCAGAACACGCGAGAGACCGCTGATGGCGCTCAGACCGGACGGGCCACCACCCACGACAATGACGTCGTAGTCAGTCTTGGGGACAGAGGCCGCGAGGGCAACGGTCAAGAGGGTAAGGAGGGAGTAGAAGGCGGAGAACATCTTGCGAGCCATGATGCTGGACTCGAACCGGGGATGGGAGAGAAGGCTGGTTGGGGATGGAGTTCTAGAGACGATGCTTGGTTTTTATACACGGGTCTCTGGGGTACTTGAGTTGGACCGTGTGATGATCAGCCGTAGCTGAGAGAATGGGATCGGCATGTATGCAGAGGTTCAATAGTCGATGTATGAGGGTGAATCGGGTAGGAGATGCATTCCTGCGTACATGCTTCATACTCTGTACTTCTTGACATTCCCCTACAATGGCGTCGGCGTATACTGGTAGAACTAATATTGGATACACATATTTGATTGTACAACACTCATGGGGGAGTACTAAATTGAGACTGTACAAATAAAAAAAATACTCCGACTTCGTATTTGTACAAATGCTCCGTACTCCGTGCAAATACCACAGCTGAAGTCCCCACAAATTTCACTCATCATCGGTCGACCCCCAATAGTTTGAATATGGAACCCAATCACAGCCCTCCACACACGCTACCAAGACCCATAGTCCGGGCCGAGAAACTCCACCATATTCTAAGTGTAGAAGATCAGCATCTTCAGGATGGCCGGATCAAGAATCCGGGGTTGTGCTGGGCGAACCAAACGGGGATTTCGGGTGCATAGCTGTGCATAATTGCTTTGTGTGAGAAGCAGGAACTTATCCAAATATGTGGATTGTTTATATTCTGTTTGGATCAGTGTCAGTGTGAGGGAAATAGGAGCTGCACGGGGTGGAATGTCCGAACCAGTGATATTAGGAATGCAGACAGCGCATTACTTTCAACCCGTAGGAACATTAAGACATTGAGATTATGTTAATGCATATACTATCATCAAGCAAATATAAACATAAATCACTCGCGGATCAAGACGTATGGGCGCAAGCGACATCTTGCGCTGTTTTCTAAACACTTTAAAAAAGAATTTAGTACTCATCTCACCGACGGAAAGCATACTGCAACATACACGAAGCACTCTGGGTTAATGTCTGCCGCACGCTAGACAAGAATCCCTTATTCCTATGAGCTTGGGTAACATCCCACACCATCGCACCTCCGAAGCTGTCGAATCCCTGGGCATACTCGATAATCGGCTTGAGTTCCGAAATAGGAACGAAACCGCTAACCGACGCTTCCTCATTGGCGGGAACACCGAGAAGCACTTTGACATCTTTGTTCTTGGATCCGTCCTTAGCCCAGTCGTCCCATGTTTTGAAGTTGAATTGGGGTTGTTCGTCGGAATTCGCGTCGAAGCTTTTCAGGCCGCATGGGTTGTTGTAGAATTGCACGAATACGGCATCCACATCGACGGGGCCGGGTCCGTCGAGGAAGTCCTTGTCAGCTGCGTCTGGGTAGGGGCACTGCGGGGCGGAGGTGAGGTAGTACTTTCGGTCCGACTCGCCTTCCATCAGTTCGCGAAGGCGTTTGGCAAAGGGCTGCATGTTGTAGTTGGTGGCCTCAAAGTCTAGGTCGAAGCCATCGACGGAAGTTTTGCCGAAGGGACGGTGCACCTTGGATGTCTGGCTGCTCACGGAGGCGGGTCCAGATGCACCGTATGCACCATAAGCACGGCCGAGAAGCTGGGGTACCAGATTGGTGAGGTATGTCGCTTGTGGTGGCCAAAGATCATTTTGGCTTGCTTGACTTGCAGCGGAAGGATTGGGGTTGTTCCAAGCAGCATTTGTGCCTGTAGCGATAACAGCTGACTGTGGGTTAGGTGTTGCTGTAGTGGGTGCTGCTGTAATGGCTGGCTTCTGAGACTCGTTGGACTGGGTTTGCCCAAGCGCCGCAACATTTTTAGAAGGCTCCTCGACTGGCCCGTTCTCTTTGTTAGGACCGAATGTCTTCCAGATCGATTCTGCACCAGCAATGGCCTCCTTTTCAGAGCTGAAGCCAGCCTCCTTGTACGTAGCTCCTCCAATGGATAAGAGGATGGTCTTGCCGTTCTTCTGACATTCCGCAATGTCCTCCCTGATTCTATTAGCTACTCTCGGAACAGCTCTGATGATGCTACTCACCCCACTTCGGGACAGTTTTTCAGATTTGTCCCGTCAAATGTGTCACATTCCTTGCTAGTGTTGGCAAGGTCATATACCGGTGCACCTCCTGGCCCGTGGATACTCATCACGAACGCCATAACGATGGCCTATAGCGACTTGTCAGTTGAGCCCCTTGGGTTTGTTTGGTTGTCAACTCACGTCAATATTGTCATCTGGAAAGATGTTAGCCAGTATCCGATTCAACAAATAGGGTAGAGTAAACTTGCCTTTGCAGTAGTGTGATAGGGGCTTTTGGGCCTGTTTATCCCCTCCCCCACTCGCTGATGCTCCTAACGAGTTCTGGCCTGCATTGTGTTATTATTATCCAAATCTCCAAAAGTAGCATACGCACCCCAATAAACAACCACATTGTCTCTTTGAGAAAGATCGAGCTTAGCATACGCTCCTCTCACAGAGGCAAGCGCAGCCGTCACTCCAAGTGCTTTCTGAAAGAATGACATGGTGCAAGAAATATCGCAAGTATCCGACGAGGGACCAAAGTATATCAAACTAATGTGTCGAGCATGTGGTAAACGATTAAATATCAAAGCGGCAAAACTAAGAATCCCTTGGTGTCTTCAATGTCGGTTGAGATTCTTCACGGTGCTCTCTCCTTTGATCAAAGAAATTCAGGACCAAGGACATACCTTATAAGTCTCCTGGATTACCGCCCTCTCCTCCCAATGCGAACCATGATTCTGTCCCTCTTTCCGCAAAAGTAGTCGTTTCAGCAAATCATGCTAGCCCTTTCAAGGCATGTCTATTAGAACTCCACATCTGTCATCCTCGTGCCGATTGTTGTTGGTGGTTGTTCATACCGGACCATGTCAAGCCGATCCTTGGTATGCTATCCCTTAGTCAGGATGGCAGTCCGCGTACCTGCATATAAACCAGGGCAGAAATTGACGAAAGTGCAGTTCTGACTTCCATTGATGCTATCCTTGGCTTCATGAACGTGCTGGGATGATTGCATCCTGCATATAAGTGAAGACTAACAGGCTCAGATGTGAGTATCCCATTCGACGAGCTCTCGCTGAAGACGCAAGGGAGAATTGAGCCATCGCGGGAAACCTTAGGTCTGTGATTCTATATATCGTCATAGCACGTAGAAACCTAAATTGGTAAGTCGCTGAGCACAGATTATTGTCCTCGCTCAAAGTGCATATAATACTTTTAGAGTATACAAGGCGTTTCACACGGAGTCCTGTCACAAGTTGACAGATTCGCGGGACTTCCTGCGACGATCGTGCCTGAGACAGCAGGCAGCCTGACGAACGCAAGGGCTGTGCGGTATGTAAGAAGCGTTCTTTCTAGTGGCTTCAAGGCATACCCACTATTCCTCTTCAAACGTACCTTATGAATCTCATTGGGGCATTTGTTCGACGTTTTAAGTTGGCCAAAAACGTCATCCCGTCCAGAGAATTAGCCCAACCACATTTCCTGCCAATGCCGTGCCGTGGTGGGAGATCGGTGTTATTGTTAGCCTTTAAAATACGTGTTAGTGCCTCGTTTGGTCCTTTTGAGACACCCCGAAAACGGACGCTCCTTATGGTGCGCCGCCGGCTGCCCACTAAAGCAGGTAAAGGGATATAACATAGTAGCCCAGAAATATATGTACAATGCGTAAGGTTCCCATAATGCATTGATAATTCATGTGTAGTCTCATTTCGCATAAACGTCAAATATTCAGTGAAAACATAGTCGTAGACCTTCCCAGCTTACCGCTTAATACCAACCACCCGATTTATAGCTTCATCGTTGCTCATCAACGTGTCAATGACACCCGCAACCTTGAGAATATCAACAACATCCTCCACGACCTTCGAATCAATTCCACGCGTAGCGTTGGTAAATTTTACATCCTTCAACCACTCCGTTGCATCCTCCTGGACATACGTGCATCCCAATTCACCCGTGCCAAGTAGCTTAACCACCTGCGCCTGATCGGCCTCAAACTCCTGAATGCCCTTGTCAAGAGCCTGGAAGAGCTGCTGGAGCTTCTCATCGCTTTCCGGGTCCGGGAAAGTCGAGGTCGATGCGACGAGCAACCAGGATGGCCATGGAGTGAAGATCTCGCCGAATTTCTTAAGAGGTGGTTGGGGGTTTTGGGGGGTAGGGTGGAAGAAAGGCTTCGTGGTGAAGTGCTCCCACATGAAGAACTCGGCCGTTGGGGTCTGAGAAGGCTGCTCGTCTCCAGTGACGCCGTTGCGCAGGACCTGGAAAGGACCAAGGACGGTAGGGGTCAATGAATCAGAGTCCCAGCCTTGTTGCTGAGCGAGAACAAAGGACATGATGTGGGAGCCGCTGTTATATTCGTCAGATGAGCCTTTTTTTTTTTTTTTTTCTCCCCTAAAATGCTGGGTATTGACTGCTGCTTACCTTCCCGGTCGACTGATCCCCACTCGCTGACCCTTCAGATCAGACACACTAGTGATGTTGTTCCTCTCGCGGCCAGTGACAATTGCCCACCGCAACGGAGTGTCAACCCAGTGTCCTACCACCTTGTAGCCGCCAGCAGCCGGATCCTTCTGGGCCTGTTGCTTGCCAGCAAGCCCGGCAACCCAACCTTCCGTCAACCCGATTGCAACATCGATTTCCTTTTCGCGAAGTGAGGTGATCATATGTCCCGTCCCAGAGGGAAACGGGGTCAGGGAGAGCTTGAATGGGAGCGAGGAGACGGCGGAAGAGCGGACGGCGAGGTGAAGAGGGGTGAGGTAGTGTTCTAGACAGAGAGGTATTTAGTACCATTCATTTATGATGCATCTTTCTCTCGAAAACGAAAACAGCGGAAAAACAGCTCTGGGATAACTGCTTTCTTGGAAGGTCCAATGCGGGGTTAAATAGGAATCCATACCAGGAACGTAGCCAATGCGGATGGTGGGTAGTGTCGAAGCCATGATGAATGTTCTTCTCGGTGTTTATTTGAGAATGAGAGAGTAGGAGTATGTCTTCTCGAGGTTGTGCTGAGAGAGAATCGAGTTGAAGTCTAGTCAAGCTTTTGGATGGTGGGGTCATGGCGGGGTTCTTTTGCGCCTTTGTATACTGCGATTGGCAATACTACTAACATACACTTCCCAGATGTCTACCATGGAACTATTCAACTGAAGTCACATGAATATACGGAGAAAGAAGCGTTAATCCAACACTTTATTCTAATAATTGATAGGCCATCGCCTGCACAAACTGCTCTTTCCACCCGAACCACAAGCAACATCAGTTCGCAAGAAACATTCCCACGGATGAGACTGCGCCTTAAATGGTTTCTCTTCATCCATTACAGTATTTGCTTCAATCCATTTCTTTTCCAATTCGGATCCCATTGGCGGTATGATGAGCCCGTTGACCCTCTACAGATCACGACTGGCCTCGTAGATATCAAGTTCCCATTCAACGCCTTTGGGCCCCAAAATCAGCCTCAGACTGTCATCCATCGCTTTGAAAAAGAAGTTTTGGATCTCTTGACTGTCAAGGACTCGAGCAACATGGTAAATGGACAGAGTGGTGAGCGTGGGCGGGCGCTCTCCTGCGTATATGTTCTCTGGAGCGAGTTCAAAGAAGTGGACATGGCAGTATAAGACGGATGAACCGGCGCTCGTATATATGTTGGTAATTTGTTAGGCAATGTGTTTTTTTTTTTTCCTCGGGCGTCAGGGCATCGGCGGTGTGGTGGAAAACCCACTTCGGCATGATGAGAGGGGTCTTTTGCGTTTTGAGAAAGCGTGGAGATTCAAGGTACTATGAAAGAAAAGATATGTCGAGCTTAGAATCATCGATATTGTTTTGGATCAATGGGGTTTATATAACAGGGACAGCTGTAATCCAACCCAGTTGTCCACTACCCCGTCATTGCTATACCATCATTTCGGCACAGCATATTGCAAAGGGGTGGTATAGGATTTGTCTGGTTATTCCAACAGCCTGAGTGGTTAATTAATCATTCCGTAGTGCAGCGGTTGTTTACCATTCATCCCGGCCCTGGTCAGCCTTGGTAGACCACCATGTATAAAACCCTGAGCTAGTCGGAATGAAGAAAGATACATCCAGATCAAGCCAATTGTCCACAATATCCGAATTATGAGCGGCAGTCTATGTTGCGCCTCCCATCTTGTTCCCCACGGCGCCTCCTTCAGAAGGTGGACAATGGTCACCAATCTCATACACTCTTATCTATACAGCTGAGGACGCTATTCTTGTTGACACGCCAATTATGACTAGGAAGACAGGAGACTGCTCAAATGGATTGAAATCGTCGCCCCAAAGCGGAAACTGGCGTATACCCGATTCCTGAGACTTCGATTCCACAGGGTGACCAATGCCAAGAGGATCCTCCGTACGGCGGGTTCTTCATTGAAACTCCGCCAAGTCAAGATGGACTAGATCAGGGCATTCAGTCCACATCGTCCCCCAAAACGAGGCATTCGCGACTTTGCAGTGAGCTAAGCATAAACAGTCTTTCCCCTAGAACATGGGGAAGGACACGGCAAGATGTGGCTGGCGTATTGGATGAAGACCCCGAGGAGGTACGTACGAAGTACCCTTGAAATGGACCTCATTCTGATAGAATGCACCAATCTTGTTGCTAACCGATACAGCATTGTAGTTTGCAGATACGACTGGTACAGGGCTTACCGCTTGCGACGGGAAGGGAGTCTTACACGCTATAAGGACCGTGTTGCGCAGTTGGAGAACGCAGTTGAGAATATGAGCACGTCTGTTCTTTCACTAAGCCAAAGGCTGGTCCAATCTGGCGCGTTGGAATCTAATCCTGAGCTTGCAATTTATATACATGGTATTGTGTTGACATGTTTGCGCTCCGTCAAGGAAGCAGGCTGTAAAAAAGAGACTCCCGATGCACCCCCGGCAAGTAGGGAGTCTCCTTTCATGCCCTTAAGGAAGCAGAGATAAACCATATTTATTATCGGATGGTTGAGCTCATTGCTCGCTCGCAGTTGAATACCTCGCAGCCTCCCGGCACAAACCGTGTAAGATTGTAAGACGCCTCCATTGGCAACTTCCCATATATTTTCGGCTCGACAGAAGTTACATATATCGCACTACCTGTAATTATGGAGATATTACACATCGCTTGCATTTCTCAAGGTTATATGGCCTTGTGCGATAGATCCATCACCACGAACCGTTTGCGAAGACCGTCCTGCCCCCTAGCTTTCATGAGAGTGTCTAACCTCTTATTTTGAAGCAGTACCTCAGTGCCGACTTAGCCAGCGGCAGCTGGATGAATGGAAAGACATACCATTCTTTAGCTTGGGTGGGACAGGTACGCATGCGTTACCGGGGAGTAGTAGCGGAAGGCTCTCTCCCAGAAACGGTCCACAGTTCAGGATCACTTGGCGCAGTCTCCTCCTGAAGTTCGGGAAGACCTGGATTGGGAATGGTTCACCATAAAGGATCTCGAAATGTTTTTTTGCCAAAAGGGTGTTAATAAGTCTGCATGCGATCCCGCAGAATGTGGGCCAAGTTCGCCAAAGCGAGCTGTGGTCAGCGTAGCTCGTTTGATGCACGGTAAGAGCCTATCTCCTAAATCTCTGCTTTTTTGAACCGAGCTCTGACTTCCGTGTAGCGCTGATAAGCAAGTGCATTTTCTTGGGTCGTTCTCCTGGATTCCATCGCTGTGATGTGGAAAGAGCTCTCAAAGCTGCTGTGTCGTGAAGGAGCTCTGGCTTCAGATTCTATACGAGTTAGCTACGATAACACAAGGCCTGGAAATGGCCATGTACCATTATATGGAAAGACATCCACAGTACCGGTGGTTGTCGGGGCTTGTCTAATAATCAGAGACGTTCAAGAAGCGCTAGGAGAGCTCACAACTAAGGTTCACATGGATACATCTCTGCTTAAGCAAAGACGTTCAGTCAAAATAACTAACGCCTAGGCTATGCGTTTGCCCGGTTGGATACCCTTCGTTCCTTGAGAATATGGAGATCTCAGATGTGACATTGAGGCTACATGCATCATGACTAAATCGAAACGCTCAATGGCTTCTTATTCATCTTCATTAGTCAATCTATCACTATAACTATATCCTAGTTTATCTCGTAAGTATTACAACAGAATCTATCTATATAGAGTACAGAAAGTACCACTACAACGTAAAAGGTTCATCAATGCGTCAAATCATCCGAATATCCTTCTCCTCAGCCCCCCAGCTCTCTTGATCCCTAGGGCTGCCCGCAACCCGTGGAGTGTACAAATAGAACTGAAATCCGAGGTAGCAGTCACAAACGCATTGGAACATGGCACACAGACGGAACGCCCAGGGAACAAATTGTCCACCAAAAAAGAAGTAGCTGAGCTTCGTCGTGTCACCAAGAACCCATGCCGCGACGACAGAGAGACGGAATCCTTTGCACGAACGAGAGCTGTGGTTGGCAATGATTTGAGGCAATGGAAGTGTTGCCTCAATGGCCAGACCGATATAGCCCAACAGGTCGATGTAGGTTTGTGAGTAGGACATCAAGACGTGGATAAAAGTCAGGCTAGCGGCAAAATACGCGAGGAACATCCAGTACCTAGCGAAGATGGTATGTCAGGTCAACATGCGATTGAGGGAATGGTAACATATTAGCGGGACATACGGCCTAGCATTCTTCCATTGCCAGAACTCATACGGCCTGGACAATCCACCTGCATCGAGGTTACTGAACGGCGTATGCTCGATCCCGCTCTTGGTCCCAGGAGACGGCCTGTTATCCAGTGCAACCTTGAGCAATACAATTTGAACCCCGATTGTAATCACAGCCTGTACCAGCAGTGAGACATCGTAGTAAGCGCCGAACCAATAGAATACCCTATTGCGAAAATGTTAACAGCCAATGCCGAATAACCCGCCGTCCAGACCGAAATCTTACTTCATAACTGACGCGATAAGCATAATCAACGGAATGTCCAGCGAAAACCCAGCCGAGCTCCTGTTCCGATTGATACTAATAATCTGATCTGCGTAGGACGTCACCGGCGATGTGATAATGCTGTTGTACAGCAACGGTCAGCATGGCCATAATCTACCGGGCGTTTGCGGTCTTCCGGGAGTCGGTCACGCACAAGAACGGAGCGCCATATTGCAAAGCTTTCGATATCAGATACATCGTGGATATAGTAACGGCCCGCCAAGAAAACGAATCGATTGAGTAATAGATCCAGCCGGTAATGTAGGGGACAATTGCCAAGCAAAGTCTGTCCTGTAGGAAATCCAACGGTCGACACGGTTGCGAAGCGGATTTGCGGTCAACAGTCCAATGCCGGTTCGAATTGCGCCCGGAAAGACAATAAGAGAAGCGAAGAGGTAGTTATGTCACAGACAATTGATAGCAAAAGAAGACAGAAAGCGATCGTGGTCAAAGCTGGGACGAAGAAAGTCAAGGCGAACTTCAGTCGCAATCACCCTGTGCTGACTCAGTGTGCTATTCTGGATCGGGTTAGCGTGGATTACATGTGCCTGAGGCCATAGTGATCTATAGTTGGAATATGAGATTCAATATTCAAATTCATATGCGTACTATCTCCAAAGGGCACTATCCACGCAATTGTGTCAGACTCCTTTGCCAAGCCAGGGATTCTCCAAGATCTCGCTCGGAAAAGCCCTCGTGTCCGGCTCAAACCATAGTATTCTGCCGACAATCTCTCCCAATGTGACTCTATCTTAGTCAAGTCCTGCTTCAGCCCGTAATCGAAATCTCTTCCAGCCAGCCTTGCAAAGAGCACCCGCTATATGCTTCCTTTTACATTGCATTCCTAGCCCCTTCCACCTATCAGGTAGTGCATCGGTTGCCGTTTCTAAAATTTCATCAACGAGGTCTTCTGGTGTCATCAAAATTTCACAAGGTGGGTAATCAGTAAATAGTTCAGATAGCTGTCATATTTGTTAGATCGCCTTCAGTGACTGAACGTCTGCTACTCTACTTACTGTACACCCCACACTCCATAAGTCGACAAAATAATCCAAACGATCCATGAATACAATTCCAGGTGCCCGATAAGCTATGGGTGTATGAAGCTTTTAAGGAGGTGCATTAGGCAGGAACGATTGTCCGAAGTCAATGATCTTAATGGATTGCGACAATAATGAAGCGTGCTCTCGAAAAGAAATTGGCTCCATCATGTATCCTGGTATTCTAGGTTCTAGTGATCCCCCGTCATCTCTTCTGGCTTTGCTGATTTAGGTTCACTTAGTATGTCGAGTAGTTCCCTCTTGGACGAGCTGTCCACGGCAGGGAGAATGGATACTAAGTTGCGCATGTAGAGGTCTAGAATGAATGAGTATGCTATGAAGTGCTCTTTATGTTACTGTAGCTTACCTCCTGCCCAATCCCCTGCCGGTGCAGAGCGTCAAGCCCAGACAAATCTTGCTTTGAAATTGACTTAGCGACCTTCCTGGGGAGCCTTTTAACCGTGTATATGACACATGGCCCCGAAAGCTCCAACACCAATCATCCATGACGCCCGTTTGGGCCTTCTATATCGAATGCATCAAACATAAGCATCAACTTCGAGGTGCCGGGATGAGTGCTCGCAAGTTGCTTCATCACTGGCATTTCTTAGTTCACCATATTGGTTCCCTTGGTTGAGCCACAGACCTTGACGGCAACATTTATCCCATTTCTGTCGATGAGTTAGCAATCGATCAATCATAAATGCTGTCTGTATACCGTTTATCTCTCGCAGCCCAAACCCTAAAGTGGCCTCCACATCCCATTCATGCAGCACTTTGTATCTCCCATTTTTTAACTTGTCTCCTAAGGTAATGGAATGAAAACCACCGCCTTCATATGCCAGATAGGTTCAGCATCAGGAAAATCGCAAAAGTATGGAGACTTTATGGTTCTTGGCGAGTAATTTACAGCATTGGGTTGCTCTGTTATCTTTTAATCACTCAAGAAAGTGGGAACGATTTGAAATATGGTATTTTCATTTGTGCTAATCGAAATAGGGGTTGCCGAAAGATCTGACTAGGTTCAAATCACGTGTTTCATAATTCACCAAGCTCGAGCCCTGAAAGATATGAGATAGCAAGCGAATGAGACTAATCTTTTTTTAAAATATATACTGCCGTAAACTCGGGCTCTACAGCTATTTACCAATCTCACTTTTTATTGCCATCCTGTTCTTTGAAAGTGCAAGCTAGTGGTAAGGCTACAACGTCAAGCCGCTAGTGACGTCCCAGGCTCTATTATGGCAGAAGATGCAGGACAATATAAGAAAACGTGGCATTCATTCCAATGTACTTTCAATCAATCTATACTATACTTAAAACTCAATCCGCCACGTCTTTCCAATGGCAACATCTGGCTTCTTCACAACAGCATACGACGCCTTTCCAGCTGGCTGGGAGACGTACTGCATCGAGGCAGTAGTTCCCGTCGTAACACCGTCTTCGATGATGGTCACACTTACCTTATCCTGCCATTCCTTGGGAGGATCTACGACAATCACCTTCTCCACCTTGACGTGGCTCATTGTCTTCAGGTATTCGGCAGTTTTGGAACCCTTGGTGCCGATATCGTGAGAGGACAGGACAGAGTCCTGGAAGTGGAAGCTACGATGGATGTAGGCACCACGCTGGTACTCGTAGCTTTCGCCGTCGTCCACGTACAAGGTGCCGTCGGCTTCGCCGTTCTTATCCAGAGTGATAACGAGGGTGTATGGGTCCCACTTCATCAAGCCACTGCTGCGGCGAGGACGGTCCTTGCGGGGAAGGACATGGCCACCTTGCATCAAGAGTGGGACCTTTTCGATGGGAGCGGGAATGATGTGTCTCTTCTTCGCGCCTTGGTAAACGGTGTAGTCGAAGTAGTCATAGTACTTCTCGTCATCCGAGATGTAGATGTCCGCAGAGTTCGCACCCTCAGAAACAACAGGCTTGGTCAGCAGACCAGTAGATCCGAAGTAGAGCTGATCATCGAGAGCAAAGCCTTGTTCATCAGTTGGGTGCACATAGAATTGAGGTCTCACGATCGGAGTTCCGTTGACGGAGGCTTCGTGGAAAGCAGTGTACCATGCGGGCAAAAGCTGGTACCTCAAGCGAAGCGCCTGGGAAATGTAGTCGCGGTGAGGTCGGCTGATTAGGTACGGTTCTCGCCTGCGAGTCTCGATATGGGCATGTGCGCGGAAGAATGGGTACCATATACCGGTTTGATACCATCTGGTCAAAAGCTCCGGACCCGGGTTGTGGAAGAAGCCGCCAACATCAGCGCCAGCAAATGGAAAGCCGGAGATCCCATTATTCAAAACCATGGGAAGTGTAATGGCTAGATGGTCCCATGTGGCCTGGTTATCTCCCGTCCACATGGCAGCCACCCGCTGCGCTCCAGCGTAGTAAGACCGGGTCAGGATGAATGGACGTCGGTTCTCGCCTTTCTTGCGACTCGTCAGCGCCTTGAAGGTGGAGTTCAACAATGTCACGCCGTTGACATTGTGAATATCACGGTGCTCCCAATTGCCCCAATGAATGTTGTCCTTGGGCATTGTGACTTCAGGTCCGTCGAAAACGGAAGGTTCGTTCATGTCGTTCCAAATGAAGACATTTGGAGACGAGCCTTTGAACTTGTCATACCTATACAGTGTAGACCACCATTTGGCAGCTTCGGGGTTGAAGCAATCGATCCAGTTGGATGCGCCCGGCCAACAGTGTCCATCGTAGATATTCCCGTCCTTGTTCTTAACAGCAAATCCTTGTTTCTTCATTTTTTCAGAGACAAAGTAGCCGTCCTCGTTTTTGATATGAGGATCAATGAGTACCACAAGCTTACGCTCCGAGTCGTCGAGCTGCTCTTCCATACTAATTGGATTAGGGAAGGTCATCGGATCCCAGGTAAAGTACTTCCGGTCATCGGTGTAGTCGACGTCAAGCCAGATAACATCATAAGGGATCTGGTACTTATCAAATTGGGCGTCGACTTCCTTGACATCTTCATCAGTGACGTAGTTCCAGCGACACTGGTGGTATGCGATAGCAAACTGCTGGGGCAGCTGTGTATATCCAGTGAGTTCTCCGTAGATCTTGCTGATGTCTCGGGGCGAGGGTCCCAAGAAAACGAAGACGTCCAGCTGACCAGCTTCTGAAATCCAGTGGCTATGGGTGGTAGTCTTCGAGCCCACACCCAGAGATAGCGGGTTGGCAGACGAGCTGGACTTGACAATGTCAATCCAGGTTTCGGCAGCATTGAGCCAGAATACCCCGACGGTCGAGTCTTTTCGATGAGCCTGCATTAGGGGAATGGCGCCATATAGAGTCATGGGGCTGTTCAGCTCGTACTCGAAAATGTCGGAATTGTACAAACGATACGGATCTTCATGGTTTCCGGATCCTCCCCTAGTCTCCCTCAAGGAAAGCGAGTCGGCATGCTCCGGAATTCCAAAAACATGGCTGTAGCCTGGGAAAGAGATGTCCAGGCCAAGACTCTCAGGGCCACGAGGCTTGGAATCAGTATTTCCATCAAATGTCTCTTCCCACCATGTGCTCTGATCCTCCGGGCTGTCTTCTTCAGGCTCCAACTTCGGCCGCCAATGTTCCATGTTCAAGTAGCCCTGCTTGTTGAATTGAACATGCGTTTCACCGTCCCTTTGAAATTCCACATCGAAGGGTGCGTGGCGAATGATTGCCTGGAATGAGCTTCCGGGACCGTAGAGCACCTTGGTGAGGCCCTCCTCGGTATTCGCGTTCAGCGTCGCGGACTTGCTCAAGTCCAAGCCTCCAACCACGGCCCATTTTTCGGCCTCGTTATATCGTTCCTTGCGGATCTGGCTGTTGTGTCGAATATCGATCTCTCCCTTCAATCGCTTTTCTTCGTCGATCACGACCCGCGCGGCACCGGATTCGAGGAAGGATACCGTGAGTGGCAGGCGGACTTTCTCGTTTTCGGACGTTGTCTTGACAATTATTCCGTGTAATTGGGAGTCTTTGAATTGAATTGTTGACGGTTCGAGTTCATATGGGGAGCTCCAGGATGAGCCTTTGGCGGAGACCTCGTCGGCGTACGCCCTATTTCGCTTACAGAAGCCGGATTGCGAGCAATACTTGAAGCTTTCACGCTTTACGGCCACTAAAATTTGTCAGAATCTTTGAATTGTGTTGTTCCTTTCCACTTGTCGAACTCACCTCCAGGGATCACAAGCCATCCCAATATCACCACCAAGAGCAATAGCGTCCACCGGACGGACACTGGCCAGCTCCGGGCCATGATGGTTGATCAACAAACAATGTGCAGTAGTTCAATGATAAGATAAAAGAGGCTGCATCGAGCAGTCTATACAGCACCTTTTGTAGGCAATGCGGTTCGATGGACGTAATTCCAGCTGTCCAGATGGAGAGAGCTGGCCCGATTGGGTTAGCGCGGCGCTAAGCGGTCTTGGAAGTCGGGGAAGGATGCCTGGTCTTTAAGGCGATAATAAGACAAGAGTCAGGCATAAAGGCAGACAACCCCTCCTGCCCCACATCCATTTTATTTTTCGCCAACTCAACCTCCTCCAAGTCTTCTTTTTTCCTCCCATCCCAGTGTCTTTTCTCGATTGTTTTCTATCAATCACCACTACAAACCCTCAAAATGTCTACCGAGCAGACGTAAGTCAATTCCCTCGCTTTATATCTACTCCTCATCTCTCTGCTGGATTCCATCTCGTTTTGGAGTTTGTTTTTTTTTTTTTCTTTTTTTGGCTACCCCTCACTGCTACGGAGAGCTAACAATGTCACAGCTTCATTGCCATTAAGCCCGACGGTGTCCAGGTATGGATTCAAAATACTGTGGTGTGAAATAAAGCAAGGTCACTGACAATGGATCAGCGTGGACTCGTTGGCCCCATCATCTCTCGCTTCGAGAACCGTGGGTTCGTTTCTCCCCTGTCGCATACTTGAAACAGAGCGGTGCTAACGTCCAATAGCTTCAAGCTCGCTGCTCTGAAGCTCGCCACTCCCTCCAAGGAGCACCTGGAGAAGCACTACGCCGACCTTGCCGGCAAGCCCTTCTTCCCCGGCCTCATTACCTGTGAGTAACCTATTGAATTGACTCGAATTGGAGAAGCATGCTAATAACAAAATAGACATGCTGAGCGGCCCCATCGTCGCTATGGTCTGGGAGGGCCGTGACGTCGTCAAGACCGGCCGCAGTAAGCTCTTTTCTACGTCCTATTTCAATCCGCATCATTTGCTAACCTATGATAGCCATCCTCGGTGCCACCAACCCCCTTGCCTCCGCCCCTGGCACCATCCGTGGTGACTTCGCCATCGACGTTGGCCGTAACGTCTGCCACGGCTCCGACAGCGTTGAGAGCGCTCAAAAGGAGATCTCCCTCTGGTTCGCCCCTGATGAGGTCAAGAGCTACAAGCAGGCTCAGGCTGAGTGGATCTACGAGAAGGTTTAAATTCTTCCAGAGTCATTGATCTAGGAAGAACGAATCAAAATAATGTCATGAGAGTGGATTTCCATGATACCTACAAGCTCTGTACAGTCGTAGTCAATTAACCCTGGCTAGGTAGCAGCAGCCACTTTGTCCTATTTCCTCTCAAACAAGGTCCTTGCTCCTTTACCTAGCGGGGCCAGAACGGACCTTGCGAACCACGGTGTTGCCCATATACTCGCAGCAATGCGGACCGGTAGAAGTGCCTTAGTAACGGCGTAAGAAGTCGCAAACTCCAGCACCAGCCTAGTCCCTTTCCGCTCAGTTCTCAATTCCCCAGACTGCATCCCATCATTCGCAGACGACACATCCCCTTCTTCCACCCAGCCTTTCTTCCTTAACCACTTCCCAAACCGTTGGATCCCCTCATCAAACGCACCGCCAGATCCCCAATCCGGTATCCAATTCCCATAATGGAATGCCCCCACTAATCCAAACAGCGGCACAATCGCCGTTATCTCATGGAGAACCAGGAAGGACGTGATATGCGTTACTGGAGCGCCAAGTAATGGAGTCGTGTAGGAACGTAGGAACCGTGGGAGACGGTCATTGAGTTTGCGCAAACGAGAATGCGAGTCTTTGGTTGTCGATGAGGGTGAGGGCGTAGAAAAAGTCCGTGATTTGGTAGGGGAGGTGGGGGAGATTGAACGGAGGAAGAAGAGGAGTGGACGTCGTGGTGGCATTGTCGCTGGTTGTGAATAAGCCGGTTCGTTCAGGGCTTTGGGCTGGAGATTCTACCGGCTCCAAACAGATCCGTTGTCAAGATATGAAAGTCAATTGCTGTCTTGGGTTGCTATAAAACGATTGTTGATCCTCCGCTTGCATTGTTTACGAAATATGCAAATGCATAATGTGTGGTAAGTCAGCAATGCATGCATAAATGTTGATTGTGCTGCATGTCAGAGGCACTTTTCTGGTGACACCCAGACTGTATTGACTACATTTTGTCAGGGTGAATACAGTTATCTTTCATCCTGGACCGATGCTAATGGAAGCAATGGAGTACAAAAGATGCACGCTGCTGTGGCGTTGCTGTCCGACTGCATGCAGAAATCTGCAGATGCAACAGTTGCTTATAAAAAGTCAGCCAGCCAAACCAAAGAACAAAGTAACCTGACAAACTCCCCTTATTGACCCATAGTTATCAGAATTCGGCATTGGGCTCTTTTACCATATCCGCGATCGCCTCGATAACACCGCCGCCGTCGGAGTTTCCAGTTTCCAGTTACCATCAACTCCCCAAGTGTCAACTCTGCAAATTTCCTCTCCAACGCCTGTTATCCCACCAGAAAGAACTGCTGGCCACGATGGAGAAACTCACAGATAAGATCGCGGCTTTACCGCCCAATTCGAGTTACTTCTCGCTCGAGTTTTTCCCGCCAAAGACTCAGATGGTGGGGTTACCCCGCGACTTCGCCTAGGAGTCACAAGAGATGAGATTGCTAACTTTCTGGTTACGTATAGGGTTTTGCAAACCTGCAAGCCCGTCTGGAGCGTATGGCACAAGCATTACGGCCGTTGTTTGTCACTGTCACATGGGGCGCCGGAGGAAGCACCGCAAAGCGATCGCTCGAATTGGCTGAGGTCTGCCAGCGACAACTGCAATTAACGACATGTTTGCATTTAACGTGTACCAATATGAGTCGGGCCTTGGTGGATCAGGCGCTGGAGGAAGCCAAGGTGCTGGGGATCCGGAACATCCTGGCATTGCGTGGTGACCCGCCGCGAAGTGAGGAGTACAACATCCACGGGGAGGACGATAGCAACAAGGATTTCATGTTCGCAGTGGACTTGGTGAAATACATTCGTCAGCAATATGGGGATTACTTCTGTATTGGTGTGGCTGGGTATCCGGAGGGTCATCCGGCGGATTCTTTCCAGGATGTCCAAGATCCGCACCAGGATTTGCCCTATTTGATTGAGAAGACGAAGGCCGGTGCGGATTTTATCATGACACAGTTAACTTATGACCTTGACGCATTCAACGATTATGAGAGTTTGCTGCGGAATCATGAATCGGGCGTGTTTAAGACGATTCCTATCATCCCAGGATTGATGCCGGTGCACAGCTACAAGATCTTGACCAGAGTGACCAAGCTGAGTTACGTCAAGGTCCCGCCGCGCATTGCTAAGAAGATGGAGGAAGTTAAACACGATGACGATGCTGTGAAGCGCGTTGGTATGGATGTCATTATCGACATTGTCGAAGGGATCAAGAAGGTTGCCTCCCCTGGAATACGAGGTTTCCACTTTTACACACTCAACCTTGAAAAGACAGTGTCTTTCATCCTGGAACGCTGCAACCTGATTCCCGAATATGATGAGAATGCCATTGAAGATGGAGGGGCATTAGATGTCGCAGCATCCACACTGGACGTTGCCCCCAATGGCTCTCGTATCGGCTCGAAAAGCCGCGCTTCGTCACTCAATTCCCAGCCGCGCAACCGGGTTATCGTGGACAGAAAGCAAGCCAACCTGGAAGATGCAACTAGAGATTCTGCATCACACGAAGCATCTGCGGTCAGCGCTGGCATGCCTGCGATGCCTCCAAACCCTAGCACCACCCTCCAAATCTCTGAGGGACTCGGCGCGCTCGGAAGAGAAGCCACCTGGGATGACTTCCCCAACGGACGATGGGGTGATGCACGTTCCCCAGCCTTCGGTGAGATTGACGGTTATGGTCCCTCCCTTCACGTACCAGCCCCCGCCGCTCGTCGACTATGGGGTCACCCCGTCTCGCGCTCCGACCTCAGCACCCTCTTCCGCCGCCACGTCTCCGGCGAACTTCACATGGTCCCATGGTCTGAGGGAGGTGCAGAAGAAGGTAGCGGTGGTCTAAACCCCGAAACAGCTGTTATCCGCCCCGAACTACTCAAACTCATCGACGGCCGTGGCTGGTGGACACTCGCCTCGCAACCTGCCGTCAACGGCGTACGCAGCGACCACCCAGTCTTCGGCTGGGGTCCACAGCACGAGGGTTTCGTCTTCCAGAAACCATTCGTCGAGTTTTTCTGTCCAAACAAGGATTTCCAAAACAGCCTCAAACCCGTCCTGGTAAAGCACGGCCACGAGAAACTCGCCTGGTTCGCCACAAACGCCAAGGGTGACTTCGAGTCCTCCCTCCCCGCTCACCCCGCCGGCTCTGACAACGACGACATCGTCGAGATGAACCCTGATAACGTCAACGCGGTCACATGGGGTGTTTTCCGTGGTAAGGAGATTGTGACACCCACCATTATCGAAGAGGTCAGCTTTCGCGCATGGGGCGACGAGGCCTATCGGATCTGGGACGAATGGCGCCGCGTTTATCCCCGGGGGACTCCCACGGAGCGGTTTCTCGAGGACACTAAGAATGATGTGTGGTTGGTTTGTGTTGTTGCGCAGGAGTTTGGGGCTGGGACGGAGGTTGGGTCGAGCGAGGAGGAGAAGGAGGTTAAGTGGATGTGGAGAGTTTTGGCGGGAGAAGAGTGATTTTCTTCTTCTGCTCTTGTTGGGTTTTATGGCTTTGGGTTTTTTTCTTTTTTCTTTTTTTTTTTTTCTTCTTTGTTAGAGGTTTGTAAATGAAATGCATGGTTTTGTCTGGGTTTTGGTTATATTCCATATCAACTATGCTTGTATGCCGGATTCACGACACCTTGTATACTCATTGATCAATATAGATTGGTTTTCTCTAAATGCTCGAATATATAGAAAGTAGTAACCCCAGCGCCAAGCTACAAACCCTTTGACAAAACTTTTATCCAGTCTATATCATGGAGCAGTCTTCTCCGCAAACCCATGTTCCTCGAGTTCAGTCGCACCACCATCTGGCGTTGCAATTGATGACGTCGACTCAGCATACCTCTCAGCTGCATCGTCAAGACGGCCATATTTTCGGGGATTACGTTTCGGTTGATACGCTCCTGACGGTGGGAGATGATAACCACGGAGTCTAGGGCCCTCGCCCGTTTTCTCAGGTAATTTTGGCTCATAGACCCGCTCAAAAGCCTGCACATCCGCTTCAAATGTGCTGCATTGAATACTTTCTCTGATTCCAGAGAAGAAAAGGTCCACGACGTGGTGGTTGTGGAGTTGGAGGAGCGTCCATGCTAGCATTTCCTTTGCGGAGAGGAGGTGGTTGATATATGCTCTGTGGTGTTTTTGGCAGGTGTAGCATTGGCAGCCTTCGACTAAAGGGCGGGTATCTGTGGTGAAGACGGAGGACCATAGGTCCATTGCTAGGGGTTGAGGTTCGGCGGTTTCTGGAGGTGGTGCTGGGAAGGTAAATGTCAAGGACATACCAGCATCAGAGGTTTCGCCCATGAACGGGATTGTCAGGAGGTCTGCTCCTAACGACACCTCCCGTAGAATATCCTGGGGGGTGGTAGGTGCGCTGAACAGCAATCGAGGCAGTTTACCCAGACTCTCTGGGACAATAGACAACGACGCAGCTTCATATAACGCCAACCCCGAGATATACGGCCGCATCTCATCCTCCAATTCCTCCAAATACAGAGATTGCTGTGTATTTTCCAACGGCAACACAGGCGCAAAATACGCTGCTTTAGACCGTTCACCCTCCGCAACGCCCTCCCCGTATAGCTCCTCCGTGGCATCCATCGTAAACGCATGCGTGCGGTCCACCATCTTCACCCTTCGCTTGACACCGGGTGCCTGCCCGACGACCAGGTCTGCAAGTCCAACCACAATATCCGGTTTGAGTTTCTTTATTGCGCCGATGTACTCCTCGCCGGCCATATGGCGAAATCCGACGCTCGTTAGGATTGCGATTGCGTTGGGTGTATTTGTTGGTGGGCAGGTGATGGGTGGGATGCGGCGCGGACCCATGACTAGAAGGGTATCTTCTGGCATGCATATGAATTTCCGAAGAGCAGACTCGTGTGGTTCGATGGGTATTTTGTATATCGGAGGAATGGCTTTCTTGGGTAATTTCTCTATGACTGATCTAAGGCCCCGTGGGCGTAGGTAGTCAGTATTCCTTCATTCTGCGTAAGGCCATAGAAAATATATGACACATACAATCCTCAAGGCCGATATATAAGCTTGATATAGCCGTCTGATCCCGTATTATATCATGGGCGACATGAGCGACTGCGCCGCGCGTGCTGAGTGGGATATAATGTGGCGTCAAGATGGCTTTTCGGCCTGCAATGGCCATTTTTCCCAATCGGGGCGCCATGACTGGCGCAGTGGCCGGGTTCAGTAAATTGAAATTCATGGTCTCATGTTGTTGTAGATTTGTATCCAGAGAGGCCATGGTGCTGTCAGTTGTCAGATTGTTGATCTGGAGATCTCGGCGGAGAAAAGTGTCAACGCGGGGATCTTCTGCTCTCCGCTACTCTCCACGCGCAAGACGTCTGACTTTTTACCTGTTCTAGAAAGTTGGTTATATTTTGTTGCTCTGAAATTAACAATATACACAATGGCTCACTCTACGCAACGCGGGGCTCTTATCGTCGTTGAAGGCTTGGATCGCGCCGGCAAATCGAGCCAGTGCGAATGTCTACGCGACGCGCTACAGAAGCAGGGCCATTCGGTCAAGTACATTCGATTTCCAGGTATGCTCACTGCTTCTGTATATATAACTTCAAGTTAACGCAAGCAGATCGAACGACGTCCATCGGAAAACTGATCAACTCCTACCTCCGCGGCGAATCGCAGCTAGACGACCACTCAATCCACCTCCTCTTCTCTGCCAACCGCTGGGAAATCGCAAGCGCTATTGATGAAGATATAAACAATGGTATCACGCTTATCGTGGACCGCTACTCGTATTCCGGTGTTGTCTACACAGCTGCGAAAGCAAACCCCAACTTATCCCTCGAATGGGCATGGCAACCGGAAATCGGATTACCACGACCGGATCTCTGTCTCTTCCTTCGGATCTCACCAGAAGAAGCTGCGAAGCGCGGGGGCTTTGGGGCGGAGCGTTACGAGAACGAGCCGATGCAGAAACGCGTGCGTGGGTTGTTCCAGGATCTTTTTGATCGACAACGGAACGAGGATATTCATATCATTGATGCGGGGAGGACCTTTGATGAGGTATCTCGGGATATCTCGAAGATTGCGACAGACTCTATTGCACGTGTGGACGCTATCGGACCCTTGAGAAAACTTGGACCGATTTCTCTCTGACTCGGTGGATCAATCGTCCTCGCTATCCTCGATCACTATCTCCAATCGCGGGGAAGCTGGTTTTGATCGTGCGTTGGGGAGTTCTGTATCAGACTCTGATCCAGAGGCTGGTTCCTCTATCCAATTCTCGTCAAGGGCATCATCGCCGGTCGAGTCATCAGAGCTTTCCCGGTCCGTTGTAGCGGAACCCGGAACAGCTTTTACACCTGTCTTCCTGCTTTGGTTATCGCTCCTCTTCTTCTTCCTTAAAATAGTACGTAGTTCCTTGTTACCGCGACGGCGAAGCGTCAACTCTTGCATGATCACTGGCCATTTGATTGTCGTCTTGCATGTAGGACATGTGCCATGCATTGGAACGAACCGGTCTGGCTCGCCGGCCGCAGCTAGGAAACTTGCAGATAGACAAGACATGTGGCTTATGCAATGACAATCAGTCTGCGGGCAGACAACCACCAGCTCTTCCTTGGGAATCACCCGTCTCTGGCATAGTCTGCAGCGTAGATCTGTAGGATAATCCAGTAAGAGAGCGGCTTTCTGCAGATACTCATCAATCTTCGTATATCTTGTCTGAATATCGTGAACGCTGCCAACTTTTGTACCCTTGTCTGTCTGCGTATGCAGAATATCGCAATCCCCGTCCAAGATAATATGGATATGGCTCGGAAGGGAATCATCTACACGGTCACTCCAGGCTTTCCACTGTCGATAGACATCAGCTGAAAAGAACCGTACCCTCAGTGGCCAGCTGGAAAAATAAGTCGACCGTAACAGGACATGTAAATCCTCCAAATGAGCTTTCATCGATCGCCCAGTCCGACGACGCTGAGGCTTTGCCTTGCCAGCCGCTGCATTAGTCGTCACACAAGACGCAGCCATGACTTTCTTCCCAGTCATCTGCTCTAATCTCGCATGTCTCGAGTAATTTGTATGTTGCCATGCCCATCTACTCCATCAGCAAAACGCGTACCAGACAAGCAGGGGTGAATACGCACTCAAACTGCAACGCCCCAATCCGATTCATAAAACCCTCCACCAAAATAGTCATCTCCCAAGGCCTCAGGTTCCCTCTCGCCGTCCGTTTTGCGCCTCCTTTGACTGCTCCATTATGCTGGGTTAGGCGTCTGGATGGATCAGGCGTGGAGCCGATATATAGAGAGGCATGGCGGACGGTAGAGCGGAGGAGATAGCAGGCATAGAAGGCTGGGATGGGTTTTGTTTGTTCTTCCATTTGGGAGGGGTTCTGGTTATTCTTTATGCATAGTAGTATGTTGTGCAGATGTCTGAGACGGTTGTCGATGTTTTTGTTGCCATGTAGATCACGTGATGGTTCTGGCTGTTTATTGGGGAGTTAATAATTTCATATCAAGTTCTATACAGTTTTTGGAGCTATTACAGATATTTGAGCGATTAGGTCCATATAGTGTTTGTGGCACCTCATCTATTGGTGACCAAGTCCACATTGCAACATAAATTCTCGTTGATCTCGTTGGCAGAACACCATTCCAGGGCCAAAAAAAAAAAAAAAAAACATTGCGAAACAGACTAGTCAGATCCGACGTCAAAAGAAAGAATAATGATGATCTATTGTGGACATTTCTTGGGCAGGACCATGGTTGACCATCTGCTGGCGCTGACGACCAGATTGAAGAACCAGACGATTGTTTACTATGAGATGATCTACTGACATTCCTTCAATCAGTAGATCCATAGTAGTTGACGAATCTGGTAATAACTGTAGTACTGGTCAATATTTGTTTGGTAGATATATTCTATAGAGCTCGTTACCTGATTAGGAAGGAGGCACTATCTTGCTCTTCCTTTCCGCAGACTTCAACTAATCTGCTATCTACTCGAAGCTACAGATAGGAACGGCGTTAGAATCTACACAAATGACTGTAAACCGCATTTGAGCATATGGTCTCAGACAACCGAGTCGGTCCTAGTCCGATGCGCATTGATTTTAGCCATGAAACACAACTGTTGCAAACCAACACTCTATACCGGGTTACCCAGTACAATTGTTATTGATGAAGATAATAAGCTCAAAATTTCATTTCTCTCTCCTAGTGCTCGGTCTTGTTTTGTTATACGGGATAAATGTTGCACCATTGGCTTATCTAGCCACAACAGATCCTTACGCTGTACTCCTGTGGATCAGGCCACGTTGAGAGGTTACGGAAGTTACACTTATAAGAACTCGGATAGAAATATATATACATAATGGTAGTGTATTGTCGACAATCACATTGTGAGAACCTGTTCGATCAGCTGACCATCCATGGTGTACTGTAACTATCGTAATTCCGATACGCGCATGCCCCGACTAGACCCGAGGACGAACGGATTCAAGTCTACAAGTGCTGAGAATATGAAGAAGCATTGATACAAATGAAAAATATAATATAAGAATCGTAACTACACCACTAGCTAGAGAAACGCAAAAATGCAATTGTTTTCCTGCTGGGATAGTGCTAGTATCAAGTATGTTGCATCACCGTTTGCGGATACAAAACGGTATTACCGATACCGTTCGCTACCAGCATCTCATGGACTGGTTTTCCCTTCTTCGCAGGAAATCCACCGAGTCTCTTCGTCTCTCTATACGAGTGCTCTCTATTAGAGAGGTTCACCAGAAGGGATCTCTATTATCCACGTTCATCTTTCTGGGCACTGGTTGAAGACTCCATATATATCAGGTACGGTATTAGTCCCCTCTAGATGCCCATTCTCCACACAAACCCTCTCGGGATCTTCTCATTCCATCATCCGTTGTTCTTCCTACTGCTATTTGCTGCATACGCCCATCACAAATGTATGCTCTCTATTAATCACCGCCTCACTTTCTTTCTTCAAGGTCTTTTTTATTCCTCTCAATCCCTCGCATCAATCATCCCTGCTCGAAGTAAACCGCTCAACGAATCCCGCGAACCGCTCGTCACTTCCGGTCTAAGCTTACTTCGACCACCGTCAATGCGTTAAACAGCTCGCGTCGCATGTTCCTCCCTCCCTCCCTTCCATCGTCGTTAGAACACGCGCATACGGTCCTCTCCTTCCTTGCTCTTCCCGTCAAAGGACTCGCGTGTCGCTGTTGAAAGATGGTGGCTCCGGCCTCTACGGGAGGGAATTCGAATGGCGGACAGCCTTCTGCTACGAGCTGTCCGCCCACTCGATCTTCCAGCACTCATCCTTCGCATGCTCATAACGTTCCGTTAAGCGTTCGACGATCCTCTCCTCTCGATTTGTCCACAGTAGAGCGTCGAAGCCAACCGACAAACCCCCGTGAACCCGTGAAACGTTCCCGCCCCCATGGTTTGCAAGAGGCCCCGACCTACTATCCCACCGAGGAGGATTTCAAGGATCCCGTTTCATATATTCGCAAAATCGCACCGGAAGGCAAGAAATTTGGTATCTGTAGGGTTGTTCCGCCGGAGAATTGGCAGCCTTCGTTTGCGATTGACACCGAGGTACGATTTGTCTCCATTTTGTTGGTCCCTTTCCCTGCGGCACGGGGTGGAGGGCGAGCTATTGAGGCGGGACTAACCATCCATTTTTTCAATGTAGCGCTTTCACTTCAAAACTCGCCGACAGGAGCTTAATTCGGTAGAAGGAGGTATAGTTTCGCGCTTCGTCTTGGTTTGTTGCCAGTATTCTGATCCGACCTAGGAACCCGTGCGAATTTGAACTACCTCGACCAGTTGGCGAAATTCCACAAACAACATGGCACCAACCTCAACCGTTTCCCGAGTGTCGATAAGCGCCCTCTCGATTTATACAAACTGAAAAAAGCAGTCGAGATTCGCGGCGGTTTCGATGCCGTTTGCAAGACGAAAAAATGGGCAGAGATCGGTCGCGACCTGGGCTACAGCGGCAAGATCATGTCCTCCCTCTCCACGTCGCTTAAGAACTCGTACCAGAGGTGGCTACAGCCTTACGAAGAATATCTCCGTGTCGCGAAACCCGGGGTACAGCAACAATTGGAGATGGAGCACGGTGGTCCCTTTACCCCATCTCCTCATCAGTCGCCGTTGAACAAAAAGACTTTGCCAATTGACAGTCTTCCTCCGCCGCACCAGGGAACCCCCGTACCAACCGCGTCCGTGCAAAACACTCCCAAGCCAGTCGAAGCAACTCCTGATAAGCCGACCCCGCCAGCGGAGCCCACGCCTCGTCCCATCGCCTCAGGCTTTACCGCGGTAAATGCTTCGGGTGGATTTACTGCGGTAAACCAGTCTCCTTCGTTTGCTGCCGTGAACAACGGCCCTCCCGTTAAGCGGGAACCTGAAAATGGATCCGCCATTCCCCCAGGTGTTGCTGACCGTACCCAGAGTTCTACTCCTATTTCGAATGGGCATGTGGATAATGGTGTGAAGCGTGGTGTAAGCCATGACAGTGCTTCACAGACCGAGAATGGAGATGATGGCGGGAGCGGCCGGCGAAGCAAGCGTCTCAAGAAGGGTGGTATGTTGCCCTCACGAGTGTCTCGTTCTTATTTTCCCTTCCTCCTATTTTATTCATACAAAATAATGGCTGTTTGTTATTCTCACTCTGATATTTATCGTTGCAGATGCGCTACCGACTGTTGCTGGTTCCCATATGAGTCTCTTCCGCCCAACTCCCCCTCGTGCACGCAAGAGCGGCAATGGCAACAAAAACGCAGGAGAGGTGGGTCCATCCAGACATAAGAGAAAATTATGTTGTCTTGCTGACTTGCATACAGAAATGCGAGACCTGCGGCAAAGCAGATGACAGTTCCTCCATTCTCGTGTGCGATAGTTGTGAGCTTGGCTATCATGGCTATTGTCTTGACCCTCAGGTTACTACTCCTCCTGAATACGATTGGCACTGTCCAAAGTGCCTGGTTGGCACGGGAGAATTCGGTTTTGAGGAGGGCGGTGTCTACTCATTGAAGCAGTTCCAGGAGAAGGCAAATGACTTCAAGAAGAATTACTTCGCTTCCAAGATGCCGTTTGATCCTGTTCTCAACACCCATAGACGAGAAACCGAGGATGATGTCGAATGCGAGTTCTGGAGATTAGTGGAAAGTCTGACAGAGACTGTCGAGGTCGAGTATGGAGCTGATATTCACTCTACTACTCATGGCAGTGGATTCCCTACCATCGAAAGGAACCCCCTCGATCCATATTCGGTCGATCCTTGGAACTTGAACGTTCTTCCTTTCCATGGTGACTCCCTGTTCCGCCATATCAAGACCGATATCTCTGGTATGACCGTCCCCTGGGTCTATGTTGGCATGTGTTTCTCAACATTTTGCTGGCATAATGAAGATCACTATGCCTACTCGGCCAATTACCAGCATGTTGGTGCTACAAAGACTTGGTATGGAATACCCGGAGCTGAGGCGGCCGCCTTCGAAGAGGCTATGCGCCAGGCTGTTCCAGAGTTATTCGAAGGCCAGCCGGACCTTCTCTTTCAATTGGTCACCCTTATGCCACCGGATCAACTCAGGAAGGCGGGTGTCAACGTCTACGCGGTTGACCAGCGTGCCGGTCAATTCGTCTTGACCTTCCCGCAAGCGTACCATGCTGGGTTCAACCATGGGTTTAATGTCAACGAAGCCGTCAACTTTGCCCCCATAGATTGGGAGCCTTGGGGCGCAATGGGTGTCGAGCGTCTCCAGGCGTTCCGGAGACACCCCTGTTTCTCGCACGACGAACTCTTAATGACAGCGGCCGATCGAGATAACACCATCGAGACAGCCAAGTGGTTGGCCCCGGCCCTTGCACGAGCCTACTCCAGAGAAGTTCGGGAACGCGCGGGGTTCCTTGCTTGGCACCGGGAAATCGTACCCCACAACTGCGCGCTTGGTACCTCCTCTACCGGAGACTGCCAGCTCAGATTTGTCACGGAGGAAGAAGACTTGGCTGAGGAAGACTACCAATGCCATCACTGTAAAGCCTATTGTTACTTGACACAATTCAGGTGCCACACAACGGGCAAGACTGTCTGCTTACAACATGTGGAAATCGTTGATTGCTGTGGGCAACCTTTGTCACAAAGACTGCTGGGCCCCGGTCACACTTTACGCTACCGGATCGGGGACGAGGATCTCAGAGCCCTTTTGCTAAAGATCGAGGAGCGCGCCAGGATTCCGGAGGCGTGGGGAGAGAAGCTCGACAAATACCTGGAGGATGAGCCAAAACCCCAACTGAAGGTCCTCCATAACCTCGTGAACGAAGGTGAGAAAATCCCATACCATTTGTCTGGTCTCCAAGATCTTGCGGCCTTTGTCCAGCGCTGCGATAAGTGGGTTGAAGAAGCAAACAACTTCATTACCCGGAAGCAACAAAACCGGAGGAAAAACGAAAAAGCTTGGCGCAAGGGGACTTCTAAAGCCGCGCAGCTGGAAGAACGGGATCGTGAAGTTCGCAGAGTAGAAACCATCTACTCCCTTCTTGCAGAGGCTGATAAACTTTCCTTCGACTGTCCACAGATGGCGGCCCTGGAAGAGAAGACCCGCGAAATCGAGAAATTCCGCCAGGACGTTAACGCTACCCTCATGAACCCCCACATCCGATCGGCCCAGGAAGTTGAGGGTTTGGTGGAAGCTGGTCGCAATTTCAACGTGGAAATCCCCGAGGTAGAGGGTCTGGAACTTATCCTACGACAAATGAAATGGAATGATGAAGCACGCGGCAAGCGTGACCAATATATGACCCTAAAGGAATGCCAGGAGCTTGTCCTGGCTGGTGAGCAATTGGGCATCATGGACAGCAACAACGAACATCTGCTTTTCTTCAAGGACCTTTCTCGCCATGGTGAAGCCTGGGAAGCAAAAGCCAAGGAGCTCATGTCAGTTGAGGCCGTTCACTACCAGCAATTGGAAGCCCTGTCCGCACAGGCATCGCGCTTCCCTGTTACTCCGGAGACTCTGGCTGCTGTCGATGCGATCCTGACCAGACAACGGGACGCTCAAAAACGAATCCAAAGTCTTTACGACAAAAGCAGGGATCCAGACTTCCGAAACCGTCCCACGTACAAGGAAGTTCGGGAACTTATGGAGTCACTGGAAGAATTAAACAGCCGTCCAACGGGCGCCATTGATCTCGAGCGCGAGCAAAAACGGCATGAGGACTGGATGCGAAAGGGCAAAAAGTTATTCGGGAAGGCCAATGCCCCTCTGCATATTCTCAGGGCGCACATGGAATATGTCGAAAAGAGGAATTCGTACTGTTTTGATCTGGAAGACCGGTATCGACCGCCCGTGGAGCCTGCCTCGCGAGATAATACCCCTGATAATATTTTGGAGCACAACAATGGCATTTCGTGGGGTGGAGGCAAATCACGAAAGCGAGATGTTTTCTGCATTTGCAGGCATTCGGAAGCAGGGATGATGATTGAATGTGAAGTCTGTCACGAATGGTAGGTTTCCGACCTTGTTCAGAGACAATATCGATGCTAATCATTTGTAGGTACCACGGCAAATGTCTGAAGATCGCACGGGGAAAGGTCAAAGAATTTGACAAGTATACCTGTCCTATATGTGACTGGCGCCAGAAGATCCCTAGGGATGCTGCCCGGCCGAAACTCGAAGACCTTCAGGACTGGCATGCTGAACTTCGTGACCTGCCCTTTCAACCAGAAGAGGAACAAATTCTGGAAAACATCCTCAACCAAGCGATTTCCTTCCGTGATTTCATCCAGTCTTTCACCATGGCGGCCTGCACCACGACTGAAGAGGTCCCTACATTGATATTCTATTTGCGCAAAATCGAAGGTGCAGAGGTGCTTCTTGCGTATGAAACGAACTTCTTCCGGCAAGAGATCCACAAATGGGCACCAGTTGCACCGGAACCACCGCCAATCCTGGAACAGTCGCTTTCGACTCGAAAGCCTCGCCCAACGAAGCAACAAAAGATCATGGCGCAGCTAGGCATTCAACGCCCGGAGGATCTTCCACCTCACCTGCGACCAAAGCAACCCCCCACTGTAAAGCGCAGGTCAGTCGAGTTGCAGCCTGGCCGCCCTGTGTCCCTTATACCACCATCGGCCCAGACTCCCGGTCCGCAGACCACATCGGCAGGGGGACCAACATTGACGCCCATGTCCGATGCACAAAATCAGCCATACCCCTTCTCTGCAAGCTATTCTCTTCCTCCAAGCGACTCGACGCCAGCGTTTACATCGGGTTCAGCCTTCTTGTCCCATGCTGCTGGCCAATCTCCATCTTTCCCTCCCCGCTCCCCATCGCCACATCACCACGGGCTAGATAATCCCCTTTTCAGTTCCCCTCGTTTCAACCGGGATCATGCAGAGGGGCCGCCGGGTGTTGATGTTGAAAACAACAACCCATTTGGCAGTAGTCCTCGCCAAGATCTGGATGAAGTGTTTGCGGATTTGACAAATCAGGATGTGGACCACGAGCCTGAACATGGCCCCGAACAAGAGCCTGAGCCGGATGCTATGGAGAATATGCATGCGAACGAGGCACTTGATGTGCTAGATGCGAGTAATGGGGATTCTGCGAAACCTATGCAAGTCGAGGAGCAGCCTCCAGGTGACGGGGCTAATGGTGCAGAGGAGCTTCAATCTACAGCAGCAAGTCAACTAGCAGCAGAAAGCCAACCAGAAGGCGATACCAGCGCAGAAAGTTAGTTGTTGGTCTTTGAGCGCATCGAAGCTTATGGTACATCGTCACTCCATTTCTATTTTTCACTGGATACGGACCTTTACCTCGGTATTCGTTTTTACGTTGTCTACGATTCCTTTGCGGCAGGAACAAACGAATCTTTGATATCCCAATCCTTTCTCCTCTTTTTTTTTTTTTTTTTTTTTTTTTCTCTATATTTGTCTTTTTCGGTCTACGGGCCGGAGGGTGTGAGGCGTTCATGAGGCAAACGCTCTGAATTAAATAAACTTCCTTTCGTTCTAGTGTCTTTTGTTTAATGTCGATGTTTTTATCCTTCTTTTCGTGAGTTCTTAAGGCGTATCAAGAGTTGGAGAAACCGGCGAACTAGGCAATCCCTAGCTGTGTTGAGTTGTGCTTTCTGATTCAAATTTCAAGATATGCTTTTTCTTGCTCCTGTCATGTGTTCAAGCGTCGAGATGAGATATCATGGTAACTCCTGCTTGCGATGGGTAGAAAAAAAAAAAAAAACAAAGAAAAAAAAGCTCGAGTGGGGGTCACGATGTGGGTGGTTTTGTCTTCTTTCGTTTTACGTCTTCTTGTGATCACACCACTTGTAATACTACGTTATAAAAAAGACTCTTTATACTCTCCGGTTTGGTCCACCAGGGCTATCTAGTCAATGTCCGCATACGCTGGTAACGCAGACTGCCCACCTGTATGTATGAACAAGGCATTAGCCTGCTCTGACTGAGCAGCAGTCGCACGTTGAGCCCAATCCCTCTGCAAATCCCCATTTTGCACCCAATGCACCAGCCCCCTAATGACCTTCGCCGTATACACAGGGTCAAGAATGACACCCTCCTCCTGCGCCATCATATTCAGGTACTGCTTCGACTCGAGATCTAGCACGCCATAAGCATCCCCAGTAAACCGAGAATCCAAGCACACATCGTCCATGGTAATGTCCCTCTCAGGATCTAACCCGATCATACCCCCGGCCATACGCGCGAAGCGTAAAACCCGTTCCTCGTGGTATGAGCATGGCATGGTAGGGGAGTTGAGGATGCCGATGACTTTGTGTGGTGAATGTGTCTGGGTTTTCGAGGATTTTTCTAGTAATTTGAACCCGGCAATCAAGCCCCCAACTGTGCTGCCACTTCCGCATGCGACGAAGATATAATCATAATGCCCGGATCCATCTAGGTCACCGTTCTGCGAGGCTCGCTCTTCCTGCGCGGCGATTTCAAAGGCAGCCCTGGCATAGCCTAACCCGCCTAGTGGATGTAGACTTGCACCAGACGGGATCCAGTAGGGGACTTTACCATTAGCCCCTAACGCATCCAGGATATCGATCACAGGATCGGTCTTTTTTCCCTGGGGAGATGGTTCAAGTATCTTAATCTCAGCCCCCAATAACTTCGCAACCTGTACATTCCCAGCCCTCAAGAACGCCTTTTTATCAATAGCCGCACCTAACCCACCGCCCGTGTTCTTGTGCAAGATAACAACACATTCCAGCCCAAGTTTCTGTGCGACAGAGGCAACCTGTATCGTATGATTACTCTGCACCGCACCTTCCGTGACGAGTGTTGTGATCTTTCCGGGTGCGGTTGCGCCACCATTGACGGCAGAATTAGGCGTTGGAGGTGCTGGGTTTAGAATGTCGGGTATTAAGTACTCGAGTTTGCGGTATTTGTTCCCCGCGCATGCGAGCGGGGAGGAGTGGTCTTCTCTCTTCGCGTATATAGAGGCTCGGGGTGCTTGGTTGTTAGCTGTGAGGGATGTGGTTAAGGCTTGGAGGGGGTGGATTGGCGACGGATCGGGGTATAAGAGGCGGAAGCGGGGGATTTGGGCGAATTGGCGGGGAAGGGCCATTGTGCTGGGGCGTATAAGGATATGTACGGATATGTGCGACTGTATAGAATGGAGATTTAATTGTCAGCAATACTCTAACTCTGGCTCAGGGAGACACCTACTAATGCTAAATCGTTGTTCAGACCCAATCCGGACGAGATGAAGCCATCCAAAACGGGCGGTGTCTTTCTGCCGATGATGTCAGTTTTCTTCGGCTTCAAGACCACCGGTTCAAGATGGCTAGATATAAAGAGAAGGACAAAGACAATGGCATCGAAGATCCCCTCGCGCTCTCTCCTCACATTTCTAAAAGAGGCCCGCCGCGCACACCTTCAATTCCTCTCCTCAGGCTCACCATCCCCCATCTACGTCGTCGGCAACCCCTCCGTCGACCTCGACTCTATTATATCTGCCATTGTCTATTCCTACTTCGCCCATAACCGCACTCATATAACTCCCATTCGACCACATGTCCCGCTTATCAATCTGTCCAATGTGTCTGCGGGTCCGGAACTGCGCAGACTGCGGCCTGAGTTCGTGAAAGCGTTGTGGCTCTGCACGGGGAAGAGTGAAAGTGAGAAATGGGAGGATACGCCCGAGTCGGCGGGGGACATGCTCAGGGAACACATTGTCACGGTACAGGATTTTGCGGAGCAATTGCGGGAGAGGTATATACAAGAGCAAAGTGCAGATGCGCTTATGGTGGATTGGAATGCAATGCCCATGCGGGATGGGCAGCAAGGACGGGGGTCGTTGGATGGGCTTCCATCTGTGGTATTCCAGATTGTGGGTTGTGTAGACCACCACATTGACGAGGGCTTCCTTCCCTCTGCTGAATCTCTCCCATCTGGCCAACCGCTCGTCGTTAAGCAAGCAGGATCCTGCACGTCATTGGTGGTAAACACACTTCGCGAAAAGGGTCTCTGGCAAGGGGGCGACAAAGGTAATACCGGGGATATACAAGTTGCCCAACTCGCACTATCCTCCATTCTCATCGACACAACAAACCTCACTTCAAAGGACAAAACGACCAACCACGATACCGACGCTTTTGCTTTCTTATCCTCGAAAATCCACAATGAACAAAACACGGTCCATACAATGACAACATCATTCTACGAACAAATCCACGCAACGAAACAGAACAGTCTCGACCTCCTCACAGTAGATGAGATCCTAGTGCGCGACTACAAGCAATGGGAAGAGAAGCCACGCGGCGAATCTATGAGATTGGGCTTTTGTTCAACAGTTAGGTCCCTGCCTTGGATTATCAAAAAAGCAGGAGACTCACGAAAATTGCTGGGATCGCTGCATGCGTTGTGCGATAGGGAAAGATTGGACATTGTAGTCGTCATGACGGCGTTTACTTCTCCCGTACGGGACAACCAGTTCTGTCGGGAGTTGCTTGTTTTAGCCGCGGATGGTGATAACAAGAATGAGGTCGTTAAAGAAGCTCTCGATTCATTTGTCTCTAAGGCTAATTCGCAGCTCGGTTTAGCGAATTGGTATCCCCTGGAAGATGGGATTTCCGAAACATCATCGCAGGATATCAAATCTACATTGAATCAGGACGAGTCGTGGAGGCGTGTCTGGGTGCAAACAAACCTGAGCATGAGTAGGAAACAGGTTGCACCATTGTTAAGGGAAGCGATTGCTACCCAGTGAATACTATATTTGTGCCATATACAGAATGTTATATATGTAAATCACATGTAGGAAGTCTTGTACATGTTCATTTTGTCTATTACAAGTTCCTATAGAAAGGCATAATCCATACCATGTCACGCCACGCCATCAAACTAACCGAGATGTACATGATATGATGACAGATAAAAGAGAGGATACTCTCACAATACAACCAGAACTCCAGGCTTCACAGGCAAATACTCAAACATGACAATCGAAAAGAGCATGCAGATGCAGAAAGGCGATGCCTCCAACCCCAGGCCTTAGCTGATGCAATGCAACAATGCAACCAGGTAAGCATGGCAAGAAATGCAATGAAGCATAAACGAACAAAATGAAATGGGATATCCAGCCAGCCGCTCAAAAATGTAAAAGAAATAAGACAATAGTCAAGACATTACGATATCGCATCGCCATATATCAAGAAAGGAGATAAGTCAAAAAGAGATGAAGTCAGAGTGCTCAGATACACTCCCACTCGCAAAAAACGCACCACCGCGCAACTCTATCGGCCAATACTAAACCGCGCCAAATGCCACGCTCCCCAATCTTGATCACCGTTTCCCACACGCTTCCATCCCCCGGAGCGTCAGTGGGCGAGTCCACGGTATTGGCGCCCATCATATGATCAGCTTTGCGGGACAGGCGGAGGATTTTGCCAGACGGTGACTGGATTGCCAGCTTGGCCGGCTTCTCCCGCCCTGAGCCAGATCGGGAGGAAATAGCAGAGGTCGAAGCGGAAAATTCGTGAGAGACTCCGGAGACAGAGCTACCAGCCGTGCTGGAGACCATGCTTAATGCGCTAGCAGGCCGAGCGAAGGGGGATGGGGAAACTCGTCCGGTGACGTTCACCTCGCTGCCCTGCAGTGCGGATGGAACGGAGGCTGGGTGTTGGCGAACAGCGAAAACAAACGTGTTATTGATAGCGAGCTTCGAGCACTGGGGTTGCATAATATACAGATCATGGCGTTGAGCATGAGGTGTTGGGTGACGCAATACAAAGTCGTACGGCGGGTTTTCTCCAGCGTGAAGCATTGGAAGAGCAAGGGCTAGCGGGTGAGGAATATCGCGACTGGAGTGCATAAGCCCCTTCTTCCCCGCATATACTTTGATCATGCCTTGTCCTTCATCGCCTGGGAGTACCGCCTTAATTGTGAAGCGCTTCTGACCGTTGATCCAGTCCGGCTGCACCAACGCCCGCTTCCGCAAAATCTCCCCACTCTCAAAATAGTCGCCATCAGCATCACAGTCAAATGCTGGTGCTTCGACTTCAGCAGCACATTCCACGTCCGGAGGTATCATAAGACGAACTTGCATGACCTCCAGGCCCTCGAGATATAAGATGCTGGTGTCATAATCCGGAAATTGCAATCCATTCTTGAAATACGGTGGACAGGCAGTTGGCAGAGCCAACAGGACATCAGGAGAGATGGGAGGACAGATGTGTTGCTCTTCTGGGTAAAGTGGCACATGAGTATAGCAAACTTCGATCGGTCGTGCGAGGAAATACCAGCTTTCCGCCGTGGAAGTAGCGTGGCTGACAAACTGGTTCCTTCGGGGGTTAGTTGGATTCGATAAGGAGCAGTCCATGATGCGCCATTCGCCATCCACGAGGACAGCGTTCCACCAGTGATTCGGTCGCGATAGGCTGTCCAACTCAAACAGCTCGCCCGGTGATTTGAGATAGCCACTGATAACTTCTGCATGTAGTCCAACGGCAGCGCACATCTCCTTGACAAGATATGCAACCTCTTGGGGACTGCCTCGCTTGGTGTGTAGCACCCTTCTCAAATCGATATCTATTTCTTCCTCCACCGGTTCATCCCACGCAACCTTTTCGCTCACCCACGTGAAGATGGCGCGCAGCCTTTGTACATCGCTCTTGTAGGGCCGACATACATAGCCTTGTGCGAGACTGATGGGATTTGTCGTCGGTGGAACACTATTAACAAACCGCGCACTCTTGTCCACAAGAGTCAAATTGGTAGACGCGAAGTTAGTTGGCTCACTGATTGGTAATCCATCAATACTCTCATCACCTTCCACAGTATCATAAAGTTCTTCAACGGCATATATCACCGGACGGTCCAGCATCTGGCATCGCTCGGCCCTCTCAATTCGTTCATTACGACTTGGAGAACTCGCTCGGTTAACATCCCTGCGGACTTGGACCCAGTCGATAGTGCTGCCGCCGCCCATAGCCGCATCCTTGTTCGACTGGGGGGAACGAATTGGCGACGGGATGGGTGATACTGGTCGGCCTTTTGTGGGTGAATATGAACTTCCGCCCTGTCCGACAGCGATACTACTTCTGGCGTTAGCAGCACCGGTCTTCGCAGAGTCAAAGATTCTCCTGAAAAACCCTTGCTTTTTTGCCCTTGGCGTGGATAGACCACCAAAAACAGCACTGGGTTCCTCGTTGGTAATATCCCTGTTGTCTGTTGAGGACCATGGGACGGCCGACGAGGCACCTTGTCGAGAAGTGTTATGGCTGGAATGATAGGATATGCCAGTCACCGGCGTCTCAGGCCGTGACGCGCGAGAAAGAGAACGAGACAAGTCCATTGACGTGATTGGCCGTTCATATATAGGCTTGCCTCGCCTGTTAAAGCTTCCGGCGCTGGTTGCACTGAACCCTCCGGCTGATTGACCACTCATCAGACTCTGGCTGGTGCGCCCAGTGCTGCTTGTCATATTCGTGCTGTTACTTTGCACGCCGCTGGACGAATTCGTGGTGCTCGATTTGTTGGTGGCGCTCCGATTGAGAATGTCGCGATGTACATCCTGCCCTGATCGTCGACCTCTTAAATGGCGACGCTGAACCGGAATAGAGTTATGTCTCGTGTGGTAAGGGACATTCTTAGGTGGCGGTGACGGGGCGTCGTCCTCCTCGTCATCGCCCGGGTACTTGACATCTTCAGAGCCTCTACGTGTTTGTTCTTGCATTTGTCGGAGTCTGCTTTCCATCCGTTGCACATAATTGTTGATCTGAGGGGGGCCATCCACATGGTGATCCTGCGCATAAACACTGTTCCGGTGCGCCAGGGCGCCGTTGTATGAATGATACTGGTCCTTATCTCCCTCCCTTTCAAAACCCAAAGATGTTAACGCCCGACCACGAGCCTGAAGGGGTCTGTCTTCTCTATAACTATCGTAAGCGTCTGGCGACCAGGGGTTATCGAAGACTGGCGAATGTGAAGTTGAACGCGAGGGCGAGGGCGAGGACTGTCCTCGAGACATGCCCATATCTTCCAAAGAGGTCATCACGTCTTCCATAGCGTCTCTAAGCGGGGATGGCGTGTTTCCGTTGGCATCGGACCGGGCAGCTGGAGACGGGGTCCTAGACATAGTAACGTATCGATCATTCATTTCCAAGGGCGCAGGGGTACGTGATTCCCTAGATGCAAGTGAATCCCTGGAGGGTTCGCGTCGGACAGCAACTCGGTGTGGAGGAGGTGGCGGCGGTGGTGACTCTCCCCGTTCCTGAAGTTCCAGCGGAGAAACCTCGCGCGATGGAGGTCTAGGTAGTGATATGTGTTGCCTGGCAGGAACAGGAGGAGGAGCGTCATCTTGATACGGTACATTGGGGGAAGCGGGACGGGGTTGTGCATAACTTCGCCGGGCGGGGATAATCGGCAACAGATCGGATTCGTACGGTAAGTTAGGGGAAACTGGACGTGGTGATGGCCCTCTCTGCGGGACGACTTGCCGGGTTGGCACCGGTGGCGGTATATCCGATTCATAGGGCACACTAGGAGAGACTGGACGTGCTAAAACCATCGCTTGAGAGTTGCTCTGTCTGAGCGGAACAACAGGAGCCACTTCTGTTTCATAGGGGATATGGGGAGAGATAGAGCGTGATGGGTGTCTCGAATGCATGATGCTTTGTCTCCTTGGGACTTCTGGTGGCACCTCGAGCTCCAGCGGCATGTATGAAGACCCGGAATGTAGTGGCGCTGGTGGTGCAGGACCTGAGAAACCCTGTCTGACCGGGCCAGCAGGCGGTGTCATCTCAGCATCATATGGAACACGAGGAGATGCTGGTCGCGAAGGAGGGCGGGACCGTGCGGTGCTCTGCCTACTCGGTACGGAAGGGGGTGGTGCGTCGTAATCTTGAGATGGCCGGGGGGACACAGCACGAGACGGAGGTCTGGTGGACTGGGATGGGGCCTTGGACAAAGAGCTTTGTTGTTTGGTTGAGCTGGTCGCAGTCCGCAAGGGCTTGACACTTCTTGGAAGACTGCCATTTCGCGGGGGGGTTTGGGGGATTGAGCTTGCAGTAAGACTGTTGAGCGTTGTGTTATTCCGCGTTAGGTCACCCGATGGAGCCAAAGCTTCCTTATGGGCTTGAAATGGTTTTCGAAAGACGGTTTTTTGTTTTTTTGGGGCAGCAGTCGGGTTTGTGATAGGCGACGGCCCTGCCTTGACCATTGGACTTGTTGGCCGATTCACAGGCACAAAATCCTCACGCAGTACCTCGACAAAGTTGGAAGGGAACAAGCCAGCCATGCGCCTGTCACGACGTAAACGACCCATCCACCATTGTCCATCGCCTGCATTCAAACACTCGATCAAATCCCCCTCCACAAACCCCAAATCCCGTTTGGTTTCTCCTCCCCATGAGTAAACAGCTCGACACCAGCAGGGAAATCGAGGCGGAAGCTGGGGGGCGGCGGGTGCCATCACGTCCGGAGGGAGCCACACGAGGCTGGATCAAATCAATTTCACTCCGGAATGGATAGATCCGATATGTACTCCAGATGTATGTGGCGAAAAAGATGCAGCTGAACCTCTACTACAGGAAAAATACGCCCGGGGCGACGCACGGTCGTCGACAGGATGATAATGGGAATTTGGATTAGGACCCACGGAAGGGAGCAGCGACGCCCATAGTAACCGATAAACGAGAGGGAAGACGGACGGGTAGGAGCGAGGGGACTGATAGACAGACCTTGCTGAAAAGGAATAGTCTATTTCGATATCGATAGGGAGAGAGAAAGAGAGAGCGAGATGGCTGGAGAGAGAGAGAGAAGTTGACGGTGAGGCCCAACTCGAACCGGGCTGTTTTTGGCCGTGTTTACGTGGGCGCTTAATCGGGATTAGCGCGGACGGACGGCTTATCGATAAGCTTAATGTGCACGTCCCGTGATCGATCTCTCTGGTCCTTCTCATCACCACCAATCACCTTTACTCTCCTAGTCTCACTCTAACCAACGCTTGGCTTTAGAATCAACGCCTCCATCCTCCTGGTGACTGTATAGATCTGCTATGCTGTACAGAGTCGCCGGTGCTTTCTCCAGGTGCAGCTCAGAGAGATCTCGGAAGGGTTCGTGGAGCTCGATCCATGGTTTTTACTCCCGCTACCCGCACTACTATCCATGGCATGACATGGGGCATCGCGATTTCACGATAACTAAACATTTACAGCTCACAATGGCTATATGGGCAACTTACGGGGAGTCACCCTCGAAATTAGCTTCTGGCTGGCATATAGAGACTGCCACCATTGCTACAGGGATTGACTTGCTATTTATCTATTATTTCTAATTGTGTTTCAATTCCCCGGTTCCCGGTACCATCACTGGGATGTGGCGGCCTTGCTAAAGCAATGGCAGCTCCTAAAGATACCCCCAGTACGGTACATAGTCTTGCTACTTTGATATTCACCACGCATCCAATTGGCCACGGCTGCAGCTACTACCGCTTGCAAGAGGATACTAAGACACTCTCCATATACATTGATGTGATCAGCTTTTTCTGTGCGAAAAGCTGGCATCCAATCATGTGCAGTGATTTACATTCCAATCACTGACCCTTGCGGGGAAGCAAGGAGACTGCCCGATTCAGCCATGCGCAAACATCCTACCATATGCGGTAGATGCATGTTGTATGCATGCAAGCCAGATTACATAACTTGAAGCCTGTGTTGGCAATTGAGTGAGTTAAGTGTGTTCTTTGCTAGCCATCTTATTCATGAAAGCTTAAGACGTTGATATGTACTCGGATTGACACGAGCAAGCAGCGCACTGGCCATTTTCTTGCTGTGTTTTATGTCTACTCTCCTAACAGAACACATTATGCTGACGTTCAACCCAAAGTGCTTCGTGAACCAGCCCTTCCCTAGCTGTCTGTCGTAAATCGAAGGTGCTTGAAACGCATCGCCAGATCATAATGATTCTTGTATGATTTTTTCTGTTGTCAATGCTACCCTACTCAAGAGTCGAGGTCGCTTTTTTCTCGCGATGAGTCAATGACTCTCGGCCTTAGTATCCGAGCTGTCACTCGGCTGGAACCTTCCGGATATTAAGCCCGATGGTGCCAATGACTTGACATCTGTTCAAAGTAATTATAAAGGTAAGTATTTCTTTGTTCGTGTAGACGAGAGCATGAATCGTGCTCTCATGTGCCGCATTGCCGACTCGTACAGCGGCATGTCGGGATAGGATCACACAACTCATTCCGACACCAGCTCGTGTTCGCGATAATGCGAGCTTTTGGGCTATGATCTAGGCCTGCTATCATGACGTGCAGAGTCAAAAATCTTAACACATGGTGGCGAGGATCTACGAACCGGGGTACTGCACCCGGTAAGTAAAACATACATGTAGATCTCACATGAGGCGCTCCTATTGGCCCATCTCGATATTTACCAAGGAGATGATCAAGCTACAATTATTATATGTGAATTATACTCTATATGTAGATGGCCAGGTGAGCGTCGACACCGATGATTTCCGAGGCATAGAATTGTCTATCCGTCGCGCGTTATAGTCGGATTTGCCTTACGCTATGAATGGTCACAATAACCTTCGGAAACCGGTCTTCTTTCTTCTTTTCTTTCATCGTAACCTCATCCTCGAAAGGAAAAGAGAAAGGAGTAAAAATTCCTAGTTTGGGTCACGTGCGGATCACGGGCCGCCTGGAATGCAACCTCGACTTCGATCCGGCTTCGATTTCTGCAGCCACAACCAATGTCTCATCGACTCTTTCTGTTTCCGGACCTCCCTTCTTCCCTTGAATTGGTTTAGGTCAAGCGAGTGGACATGAGTTGTCGATGTGTCATGGACGAGCCCCCATCGGCAACTGTCATACGCTGGCGGTCCATGGCTGAAAACAGCAATGCTCACTGAGACATTACATTCCTTGGATGCAGATCGAAGGCCAGAATAGACCCTTTCTCCCTCGTGGTCAGTCCTTACCGCAAATACGGGTATCCTCACCTCTGGTTTCCAATCTTAGTCCCCAGATTGACGGTAACGGTAGTATTTACCTAGGGCTCGGCTGCAGCTGTCTGTATCGCATGGCGCAACAGCACGAGCATTTGCCTGACAAATTGCTTCACTGAAAGGCCTCGACAAATCGGAAAGTGGGGATGCTACCGTAAACAGCCAGGTTTTCCACATAGCAGGACTAGACATGATTCTGCATGTCAACGGATTTACCCGTAAGGACGCCTATTACGATTTATGGTTAATCGGATCCGAAAGGAAATAAAGGTGGATCTCCCCGGGGAAACGGTCTTCACAATGTATAAAGGGTCTCATCCTTCGTCTTTATTGGGATTGTTTGTATTCACCCTCTAAAGTTTGCAACGTTCGATCGACAAATCGTTCCAGACAATGGAGGGTCTCCGCCGCGTCTACCTCTTCGGAGACCAGACGGGTGATTTTGATGCCGGCCTACGTCGTCTGTTACATGCTAAGAACAGTTCGCTTGTGACGGCATTTTTCCAAAGGTGCTTCCATGCTCTCCGTCAGCAAATTACAAAACTTCCTCCTTCTCAGCGACAGATTTTCCCGCGGTTCACTAGCATTATCGACTTACTTGCACGGTATCGTGAGTCAAGTGTAAACCCAGCTCTAGAAAGTGCCCTGACATGCATCTATGAATTGGGCTGTTTTATCAAGTAAGACCCCCTTTGTTATTCTATGCTATTCTTCATGGCATGTATTGACGTACGCCCATAGTTATTATGGCGATCTCGGTCATGCATATCCTTCGGGTTCCGACTCTGTCATTGTCGGTCTGTGCACTGGCCTCCTACCCTCGGCCGCTGTGAGCTGCTCGAAAACAGTGGGGGAGTTGATTCCAGTCGCTGTCGAGACAGTGGTGCTCGCTCTGCGACTTGGTCTTTGTGTTCACTCAGTTCGAAAGCTGGTGGACAGAGGAATATCAAGCTCATCGAGCTGGTCAGCATTGGTTTCTGGAATTAGCGAGGGTGAAGCCCTGGAAAAGATCCGCGAATTTTCCAGCCATAAGGTAGGCCCTGCAGCATTCTTTTCTTCTAAATTCGAAATTCTGACCGCTCCAGACCATCCCTCTTTCTTCGCAGCCCTATATTAGCGCTGTCTCCGCCAATGGAGTTACCATCAGTGCACCTCCATCGATGCTTGATCAACTCATCCAAACGAGTTTGTTGAAAGATCATAAGCCCGTGAGAGCACCAATTCATGGTCCTTATCATGCGGCACATCTATACGACGCGCGCGATGTGGAGAGGGTCTTTGATTCATGGCCGAGGGATAAGTTCTCCAGTTACGTACCTCAAATTCCTGTGCTTTCGAGCAACATCGGCAGTGCGATTGACGCAGAGACCATTTGTGTGCTCTTAAGGGCATCAGTGGAAGAGATCCTTTTGCGACAGTTGTGCTGGGACAAAGTCACCGAGTCGTGCGTGTCAAGACTAAAGGATACCGCCAGTTCCGCATGCACACTGGTGCCAATCTCGAGCCCTGCAATTCAGAGTCTCCACACTACCCTCAAAAAGGCTGGTATCACAAATATCGATGTGAACAGCGCTATTGGGGATATTCCGAACGAACCCGATGGCCTCAGCACCACCGGCAGATCTGAACACTCCAAGATCGCGATTATCGGTTATTCTGGACGATTCCCTGAGGCTACAGATCCTGAGGAGTTCTGGAACCTTCTGTACAAGGGCCTCGATGTGCACCGGGAAGTGCCTGTGGACCGCTGGGATATCAAAACCCATGTTGACCCGACCGGAAAAACGAGGAACACGAGCAAGATCCCCTACGGATGCTGGATTAACGAGCCCGGTTTATTCGACCCGCGCTTCTTCAACATGTCTCCCCGTGAAGCCTTGCAAGCCGATCCTGCTCAGCGGATTGCATTGCTTACAGCATATGAGGCTCTTGAAATGGCAGGTTTCGTTCCCGACAGTACGCCTTCCACCCAGAAGAATCGAGTCGGTATCTTTTACGGAATGACCAGTGACGACTATCGTGAGATTAACAGTGGTCAAGACATCGACACCTACTTCATTCCGGGAGGCAACCGTGCTTTCACACCAGGACGAATCAACTACTTCTTCAAATTTAGTGGCCCTAGCGTCAGTGTCGATACTGCCTGTTCCTCCAGTCTTGCTGCTATTCACTTGGCCTGCAATTCCATCTGGAAAAATGACTGTGACTCCGCTCTGGCTGGCGGTGTCAACATCCTGACCAACCCTGACAACCATGCAGGTTTAGATCGCGGTCATTTCCTTTCGACTACTGGCAACTGCAATACTTTTGATGATGGTGCCGATGGGTATTGCAGAGCAGATGGTGTGGGTACTGTCATCCTGAAGAGACTCGAGGATGCGCAAGCAGATAACGACCCGATCTTGGGTATCATCAACGGCGCGTATACGAACCACTCCGCAGAGTCTGTGTCGATTA